ATGGCGGTCCCTCCCCCATCCCGAAGGCAGTTCCATACCCTGCGGAGGACGCCGTCGCCTGGGGTCTTCCCGGCCCCTGCTGCTTTTTTCCTTATGGCGCTTTAGTGTCAGGGCTTGGGAGTCTCCGCTAGTCGCCAGGCCTAGCTGTGGCCGTGCGTGGCGCTAGGGTGAGGCGGCTAGAGTCGGGCGACTTCTGCCTGTCCCACGGATGAGCATGTCCCGCGGCGTCTGGGCTCCAGAGGCCTGTCGGTGCCACGCTGGCCCTCCGGCCCCGCCAGGAGGCATGGTGACCCTCCCGCAGCGCATCCCCGCGCTCGAGCCGCAGCCGTAGCCAGCAGGCGTGGGTCCAGGCACTCGTGTCTCCCGCTGTAGTCTAAGCCACTCTTTAGGGTGCTTCTAGACCCCTTTTGGTTTTGTTTTTGGTACAACTTAGGCATACGAGTGATTTGAAGCATTTATCTCTGCAAAGAGCTAAAGATTTGTACTTCAGCAAAGACTGACAATAAGTTGTTGGACATTTAAGTGGATTCTAGTTCAAGCTCTCCTGAAACATTTTTGTGTTTAAATTTTTTCATCAGGGAAACATATACTTATTTTAAAAGGGGTGAAAAAGACTGCTTCTAAAACTTTAGTATAAAAATATAGCTTTTTATTGTAAATGTTTTTATACCCATTAGAAAGAATATTTACATTGCATGAAAGGCCTTAAAAAAAGCTTATTCTATTTGATGTAAGTGCTGACTGCCTATTATGTGTAGTCTGTTTTGTGCATAATATTCTTATTGTTGAAAAAGATAGGTGTAAAGATGCTGGTATGTATTTTGTAACTTGCTTTTTAAAAATAAATGTTTTGTGTGTCATCTCATTTTTGTAAATGTAGAATGTATATGCATACCTTGGCATAGGAAAATATCTAGATGTCTGTACTCTCAAATGTTAACTGGTTTATCTGGGTGAATGAATTCTACGTAATTTAATTAATTAAAAAATTTTTTCCTATTTTTTCTGCAGTGACATGTATACATCTGTAATTTGTTTTTAAGTGAGGGAGGGGGACTGAGTGATAAACTGTATGTGATTCAGAATCTTACCCATGAGAGAAGCAGTGAGCAAATGACATCTCTGAGTAAAGAGCCAAACTTCTTCATCGGGGCAGTTATGTGTACAAAATGCATAAAAGCATTTGCTGAAATGACGAATGGTTAGCATTTCTGGCCTCCAGTGGGCATTTTACCATCTTGTGGAAAGGAGGTCTGATAAGCATTTGGTTATTGCTCAGCACCAAGTAGGTGTCAGATCTTTTCTGACCAAGATGATCCTATTCCTTTCGCCTGACATTCTGACTCCAGGCCAGCTTGCAACATTAATTTTAGTGCCATGCTTGTTTTTGGTTTTTTTTTTTTTTTTTTACTTTTTTATCCTTTGTGTTTGAAAAAATTGGAAAAGTATTCTGAAATGTCAAGAGGCTTCTTTTAATATGCTCTGCTGACAATTTTCAGTGTTCGCCGATACTCTCTGAGCCTTTAGAACATGAAGTGTAAAGTTTTGGGCCATAAAAATTCTGGAAGTGTACAAAAGCAGTGTTAGGAATAAATCTTGAAATTTTAGTTTATTACATAAATATGAAAACAGCTTTTCTTGACTTTTGAATGCACTTGATTGGGATGGGCTCAAGAAATGAGCTATTTTGTTAGGTAAGATATTATATATATTGATATCATTTTTATAAATCTCGTGGTTGTCAGTTTCTTTGGATGATTTCCTTCCCCTCCTACCAGTTGGTGGCTGAATAAGAACTGGAAGCAAGATGTAACTTACTGGTTGGTAATAGCAGTTAGGATTTACTTACGCAGTTATTCAAAACCCAGGAGTTAGAAGACATGCTTTTTGATCTTTGGTTCTGCCAACTTAGTTGACTTGACTTTCAGTGAGTCTGTTTCCTCATCAGTAAAATTGGGGTGGGTTTGATAGTAGCCCCTGTATATATTTCAGAATTGTTGTGAAGATCAAATAAAATAAGGGTTAGGAAGCCGATCAAGAAACTAAAAAGCACTCTTATTATTGTGTGATCACGTCACTTGTGCCGATATACCCAGAACTTAGTGAAGCAACAGAAATAGTATGTGCACCTCAAGTTCCTCACCACTAAAAATAAGATGGTCTTGGTAATGATGCCAAATTCTACCTGCTATATATCATCTTGTTGATAAGAAAAGCAGCATATAAAGCCAGAGAAAAGCTCTTTTTCTGACATTCTTTACTTTCCCACTGCTACAGTGGAAAGAACAGTAATCTGAAATGGAAGAGGTAATTCTGATTCTGACAGTAATCTATTACTTGATTTTAAAGCTTGGGCTTTAAAATTAATTAGATATTTGTTCATATCCCAACCTTACCACTTACTAAGTATCCCCTTGACTTTTCTATGCCTCAGTTTCAGTATCAATACCAAAGCGTAAATAACAATTTTGAGAGTGTTGTGAGTTTTGCATATCGTACTTAATCATAGGATTAAGTAAATCCACAGCCTGATACATAATTGCTGATCAATAAGTGACCATTATTCTTCAATTGTTAAATAATCCATAAGGACTTAAACAGTTAAAAGTCTGTGATTTGGTGTTTGCTTACATTATATTTGCTTTCATTATGGCTGAATAAATTAATGTAGATTTGTATTCCTATTTTGGTGTCAAGATGTAGCTTTAGAAGGTAAATTCATTTCAAAGAAATGACATTTATACATACTCATATTTGTCAATATATACAATTTTTAGTATTTAGTATGTTCAACAGAATATTATACTTGAACTAATTCTATATAACTTCCCAGTTGATTAAAGATCTTGGTACCGTTGTATTCTTGAGTCTCAGAAATGAACTGCATTTTTGCTTATATGATTTCTGTCATGTTTTTCCTACAGGCATTTTTTACCATCTGTGAAAACTTCCCTGTAATTTATTTTTCATCAGTCCCATATTAAGAATTGTACCAAGTAAGTAGAATGTGGTAAAACATATGAGTCACTTTTATAACAGTCCACGAGAATTTAATTGCACAATGGTTGCCATACTTGTTTTGTTCTCAATAGAATGTTGAATGTGACCTCATAAGTAAGAAAAGGATTTTTTCTTGAAAATTGTATTTTGAGTTTCTGTATGATGTGTATTTTTCCTGGAAGCCAGGGGATCAGTATAAATTTGGGAAAATATTTTTTAAGGAAGCATATCCACCTTTTGCTTGAAAACTGTTTCAAAATATTCCCAATTGTAAGAAATGTACCTGTTTTATTCTTAATATGGCGTGATAGGCTCGATTTATTTCTTTATAAAAAATAAACATAAGACTTACTGTAATTATTCAGTAGATATTGCACCTACATCAGCATTTGAAAAAGAGTTCTCAACCTCACTACCAAAACAGAAATTGGTATCCTGCCTTTGAACTTGATCAGAAAAATAAATCCAAAATATAAACAGAGAGGCATTTCTTAACATTTTTCTTACGAAGTAAATTTTCGCATAGTACATACATTTCTTACTGCCAATAAATTCTTTGGTTAGAAGGAATTTTTACAACAGTATTAATAATATTTATTTGTAACATGTTTGTTAAATTCTTCCATTTTTAGATTGAAAAGATATGAATGAGTATCCTAAAAAAAGAAAAAGGAAGACTTTACACCCTTCTCGTTATTCAGGTCAGTGATTTATTTTCAAGTTGAGCTGTGGATTAATTTTCATGCAATTGTATTCCTATCTTATTTTCTCATAAATCATTGGATAAGAGTTCAATATCTGGGTCAACTTTTAGGTAAAAGAAAACTTCAAATAAATTCTCTGAATATATATTCTTCATTGTCTACCATGTGCTAGGCACACATCAGAACTTACAGCCAGTATTTAATCCTTACAACTTCAGGGTTTATAGATGTTTAAAGTTAAATATCCAAAGCTGTATACTTACCCAGCATTTTTGAGATTTGCCTGTGTGCTTCCCAAGTTTGTGCTTAAGGCACTGTTAACTATAAACTTGTTGGAAGATATTTTATATCATTTACATATTTTCCATCATTACAGTAATGTATCTTGTACATTACTTTCAGAAATGTGACCTTCCATTTTGATTGTAAAGTTTTAGATCTTTTGATTGAGATTGGCTTTGCTGACTTGGCAGAGAGGTCTTGGTGGTCATCTGTAAATAATATACCTCACATACATAAACTTGGGCCAGTCTCAGGCATTCCTCTTAGCCCACCCAACCTACACATTTTTCATATTTGAGGAAATTAAGCCTGGTTTACTACTTACTGTCCCCTCCCAGGCAAGACTTGAAATGACTATATTCAGAAGCCCCAACTGGTCCTCAGACCTTTTCCCCTATGCATTATGCTTTCTCTACAGTATGTAGCAGATCTTCTTGGTAGTTAATGCAGTGTTTTTTGCAGTTAACATGTTAATTGCATATTTATATTTTGTGAGATTCTGACAATAAGGCAAATGTATCCTTGTGTGCTTTAAAGTATTTTATATTGTATAATTTGTGGTTCTTTCAAAGTTCAGTGTAATATCAGATCTAAAATATAAAAGCTATCAGAATTTAGGGACATAGTAGTACTTTACTGCACATACTAGGAAAATTTATATATGTTAGATAAGGGAATAGCTAATTTAAATGTATATGTATTTTCCGTGCTTGAAATTTTTAAAATTTTATTTTATGTTCAGATTCCTCTGGGATAAGCAGAATTGCAGATGGATTCAATGGAATTTTTTCTGATCATTGTTATAGTGTCTGTTCTATGAGACAACCAGACTTAAAATATTTTGAAAACAAAGGTATATCTAATATTTTCCAAAATGTTTTTATTTAAATTGCTTTTATGTTTTCATTTATTCCCTATTTTAAAATGTGGGTGAGTTATGATTTCAAAATGAGCAAGTGTTTAAATTTGTTTAAATGTTAGAAAACAAAAGTTTTATATGAAAGCAAGTAAGTGAATTTTAATTTTTAACATTATTTTGGATATATAAATAAAAAGCACATTTTCTTAAATCTATTTTAGTTGGCTAGGAATTGGCAGCAAAGCAGAAGTGACCCAGAGTTGGGAGCGTTTATGGTGAAAGGTTAAAAATAGTGTTACACACAGTCCTTCCACTCAGCTATACCTTTCAGTCTGGAGGGCTAATAGAAAGAAAGAACAGAGGGTGAAGGGTCTGGGCTGAGGGAATAAAGGCTTTATTCAAACAGTAATTTAAACTTAAAATTCCTAAGTAACTTTAAAAAGTGTATTCTTGTCCCAATGGGGCATGGAAGCAAAATCATTTGCTTGTTTAGACAGATTTTCTGTGTCTGATATATGTAACATCTTTTCATGGCAAAAACTATGTCTTTAGTTTCTGTTGGAATTCAAAATTATACTTAAAATATTTGGTGCTCTGTGTTATAATAAGTAATGTTTAATGCTTCAATATAAATAATAAATGTTTTTCAAAATCCTTTTTACAGATGATGATTCTGATACAGAGACATCAAATGACTTGCCAAAATTTACAGATGGAATCAAGGCCAGAAACAGAAATCAGAACTATCTGGTTCCCAGTCCTGTACTTAGAATTCTAGACCACACTGCCTTTTCTACAGGTTAGGAAAACTATAAGTAATAGCATTTACATATTGTGTATAGATCAATGAAGAAATAATGCATAAAATAAATGTTTTGCTAGTTATTTATATAATAGGTCTTCTTTAGTAATAGTAATAATAGGCTTATTTTATTTTTCAGATAAATCTGCTGATGTTGAAATTTGTGATGAAGAATGTGACTCACCTGAATCAGTCAACCAACAGACTCAAGAGGAGAGTCCTATAGAAGTTCATACTGCTGAAGATGTTCCAATTGCTGCAGAAGTGCATGCAATTTCTGAAGATTATGACATAGAGACAGAAAACAATTCCTCTGAGAGTCTCCAAGACCAAACTGATGAAGAGCCACCAGCTAAACTTTGCAAGATTCTTGACAAGAGCCAAGCTTTGAATGTGACTGCCCAGCAGAAATGGCCTTTACTGAGAGCTAATAGCAGTGGCCTCTATAAATGTGAACTTTGTGAGTTCAACAGCAAATATTTTTCAGATTTAAAGCAGCATATGATCCTGAAGCATAAACGTACTGATTCAAATGTGTGTCGAGTATGCAAGGAAAGTTTCTCTACCAACATGCTTCTGATTGAACACGCCAAACTGCACGAAGAGGATCCATACATTTGTAAATACTGTGATTATAAGACAGTAATTTTTGAGAACCTCAGCCAGCACATTGCAGACACCCATTTTAGTGATCACCTTTATTGGTGTGAGCAGTGTGATGTACAGTTCTCCTCAAGCAGTGAACTCTACCTGCATTTCCAGGAGCACAGCTGTGATGAACAGTACTTGTGTCAGTTCTGTGAACATGAAACAAATGACCCAGAAGACTTGCATAGCCATGTGGTAAATGAACATGCATGTAAATTAATAGAGTTAAGTGACAAGTATAACAATGGAGAACATGGACAGTACAGCCTTTTGAGCAAAATTACCTTTGACAAATGTAAAAACTTCTTTGTATGTCAAGTATGTGGTTTTCGGAGTAGACTTCATACAAATGTTAACAGGCATGTTGCTATTGAACATACTAAAATTTTTCCTCATGTTTGTGATGACTGTGGGAAAGGCTTTTCAAGTATGCTAGAATATTGCAAACATTTAAACTCACATTTATCTGAAGGGATTTATTTATGTCAATACTGTGAATATTCAACAGGACAAATTGAGGATCTTAAAATTCATCTAGACTTCAAGCATTCAGCTGACTTACCTCATAAATGTAGTGACTGCTTGATGAGGTTTGGAAATGAAAGGGAATTATTAAGTCACCTTCCAGTCCATGAGACAACTTGATTATTCTCTTTAACTTCCATAATGTTAATGTAAAATAATAAATATGACTTTTTTAGAGACGTTAAAATGGATTATTTTAAACAATTTATGAGAATTGCCTTTAACAAGATTTTTTTAATTGTCCAATTTTCTTGGCTTTGCTACATTTTTTAGTATATAATTATATCCTAAATTTGGTCTTTTCAGTGCACAGGAGTTCATGGTAGTTTTAACGACTCCTGGTGACTATCATCCTGTTTCTTGCATGTGCTCTAATTTCATGAATTAATAAGAAACAGATGTACTAAAGAAACTAGTTTTCCTTCTGTAACCTTAGGTGCTATTAACTTCTTTAAACTCAAGACAAGCTCAGTTTTTCATGTAGGAAGTCGTTAAACTGCTGCACTACCAGCACTAAAATCCAACATAAATACAGTTAAGTCCACTTACATTCCCATTAATAAGAACCCAGACCATCCTTTCGCATTTCCCATTAGTAATCATCTCCAGCGTAATCACTGTACTCTCTATCTGTGTGATTCTTTTAATAACACTGGAAAGTCGGTGTTATAGTAGAAAGATCTGGTTTTCTTGTTGGTCTTTTTCTTTCATAACATTTCACAACTCCTTACCTGTTCACATTTCATTTTCAGTTATGCACCTACAAAGTGATGCCCAAACTTATGATGTCAAATCATTTATTGACTGAGAAAACCCACCAATGTATTAACATAGAATTAGGAAGGTCTGGGAGATAAAGGATTGCTGGCGTGAAAATGTATGCTAGTGTCTTGTGGCTACCATAATGAATTACCACAAACCAAGTGGTTTAAACAACAGAGTTTTATTGTCTCAGTTCAAGAGCCTAGAAATTCAAAATCAAAATGTTGGCATAGTTCGTTCCTTCTGAGGGCTGTGAACAAAGGATCTGTTCCCAGCCTTCCTCCTTGGCTAAAAGTTGGCTGTTTTCATGTTCACATGGTGTTCTCCCCATATGCAAGTCTGTCTCCAAATTTCCCCATTTTACAAGGACATCAGTGATATGAATTAGGGCTCTTCCTAATGACCTCATTTTAACTTGATAAATATTTTGAGTTACTGGGCCCAGGACTTCAACATATGAATTGGGGGGAGGGAAAGAAAGATACAACCACAAAAGCAACTTCTTAACTAGCAGTATCAAGAAGAATTGTGTATCACTGGCTTCAAATTTAATGAACACTGTTAGCTAACAATATTGTTTTGGAATATTGATATAGTTGAAGAAACATTTATGACCTATGGTTTTCCCACTTTAAATACCATGAGAATTTAGTCTATTTTGAGAATGGTGGCGGGAAAAAGTATTTTCAAAACCTATCATTTTTATCTTTACTATTTTTTTTACATGGATAACATTTTCTATTTTACTTTGTACACATAAATATTACCAGTAAACACAGTTGATATAGAGATGGACCGATGACTTTAAAAATGTTTTAAGAGAATTTAGGGGGTTGTATAAAACTAGCCATTTAATGGCTCAACTAGTGACAGATATAGAAACTTGTATTTAGGAGGGGAAAATTATTCAGGAGTAAACTGAAGGCCTTGGTTCCTGACAATGCCCCCCTGGCTTTTGATGCCAAAACCATTTGTGCAAAATCCCTGTCAGGAGAAATAGGATGAAGTGATTGGCATGTGCCAGTGTGGATGGTGGCTAGCCCGTGATAAAGGAGCAGGGATGGTGACTGGACACCAGACTGGTGGCTGCAATCATACACAGGACCCAGGGTGGAACAGCAGCCTGGGGAAGTCATATCTTCAGTGCACTCAAAAACCCATTTTTCTAAACTTTTCTAAAGTTTTCTAAATTTTTCTATACTTCTCTCAAACAGTGTATCTTTAATATTTTGTCACATATGCATAGCTGTATTCCTAGAAACTACCATTCCATCTGATTAACTTTCCAGGCAGGGCTGGCTGATACAAATATTTTCTAGAAGACTTAAAATCATAGTTTAAATTAGAAGAGAACCTTAGAAACCATCTGGTCTAATCCCTCTAGTTTCTGAGTTTCTCGTAGAAAGAAACTTAGGTTGTTATTAGGTCAAGGTCACAAAACAGTTATAGCATACAGGAGTGAATCCAAGTCATTTGACTTCTAGTCAAGTGATGTTTCCATTACAGCATGTTACATAAAAATCTAAGCTTTGTCCTTGGGATGTTTTTCATGACTACTTAACTTAGCCATTCAGTTGTCTTCTTGGTAATTGTTTTTATACTTTTTTGATATTTGTCCAAGTCTAGGAATTTGATTTTCAGGAAACAAACTTAAGTAATGCCTTGGTGGGTTTTTTAAAATTCTGTATTTTAATTGCTTTCATTTCATCAAGTGTTAGTAATCAGACTGTATGAAACTGAAAAGATTAAATCCAAGTTTTAGAAATATAATTTTGTGCTTTTTGATGAATCTGCAGCTTGAGGCAACATCCCACTGACAGCTTGTCCAATAAAATCTTTTGGCTTTGACTCAGCTTTCAGATAAATCTGACTGACTATAAAATTGCTGAGGTACCTGGTCTATATTTTTAGCTTAACAAACTTCTTTGGAAAAACAAACCTACCTAAAAGGAAATTTTTCTAACTACTTCTGGTTTTCTCCCTCTCAAAGACAGGCTTATCCACTGTACACTTTGTGACTTGAACCATGATTCAAGTGTGAGAAACCAACTGATAGTGATGTTTATTTGCACTACAATAGAATTCTTGGCAGCAGTAAACAGTGCTGATGAGTTTTCTTTCCTTGCTTTATCTTCATCTTGCAATGAGTTATTACTTTTGAAATTCCAAAGCATTTCCCTTGTATTTGGGGAATTTGAAATTCCCTAAAATTTCAAAGTGATTGTGTACTACTCACTAGCCTCTCTTCCTACTTGTAAATTTGCCAGTTTAACCATTTTAAATCGCCTGTCTTAGATTTCTCTGAATGTATATCATGACATATTAACCAGTTGCTCAGTTTCACTGGGCCTGTAGCAGGTTGTTAAGTGATTGCTGAATTGTGGGAAGATAAAGTATACTTAGGCTATTTTCTTCCAATAGATTAACACTATTCCTAATTTTTAAATCTGGTTTACAAAGCATTGAATTTCTTAATTCCTGGCACTTTACCATAAACCTTAATTTATTTCATCAATCTTACTACATTATGCAACTAGTTTAATGTAATTCTCAAACTACTGTGATTAATTTTAAAGGGATATTAATGCCTAAAAAACACTAAGTTACGTAAATTTGAAAAAACTAATAAAATCAAATGGCCACAATCCTCTTGGGAAGCAGATTGGCTTACCAAAAAACTCAATAGTTATTAAGAATTTAAGTGAAAATAAATAGTTAAGGCCAAATGTTAATGAAGAAGTAAATTTGGTTAGGTTACCCGACAAGTAACAGTCTCATGCCTATTAATTAAAAATAAAATTTGGGGGTAACTTTGCCTGTAACTTTCAGTTCTGATGACTGACGATACAGAGTATCTACAGGAGAATTTTTATTCACAGCTTTGAGTTTATGGACTTACATACACTTCTTGTATTGGTCTAGCTTTACATAAATTAATCTTTTAAGACATTAAAACCTAAGTGAAAAAATATGTACATTTGTGGTGTAAAATATAAATTCACAAAGCTAAAAGTTGTCACATGTAATTTACATGTTTATATGAAGTTATATGTTCAGTTTGTAAGTTTAAAAACAAACTTTTAGAAGCCTAATTAGAGTTGTTTGGAGTCTGCTTCCTACTAGAGATTTAAAAATAGTTTTCTCCATAAAGACTTCCCATTTTAAAGCGTGAATCACCACAACTTTTTAAATTTATTCTCCTTAATAACCCTACCTGAACCCAAAATAAATCACATTTCTGAAAAGTAATTTCTTCATTCTAAAAACAACAATTTTCTCACATTGCTAAATAAGAATATTGTATTATCTACTAGTCTAATCCCATACCTTAAGAGAGATGGTTATTTCGACAGCTTTTAAAAGATATTTTGTTATTACAACCTTTAAAAGTTTATTATTTATTTTTGGTTTTAAATAAGCAAATGAATATAACCTGGATAATCTTTTTTTCTTGCTAAAAATATTGAACTGAATGAATTATATCCTGAAAAATTTAATGAAAAGTATCTTTTGAATGAAACCCGAGTTTTCTAGTTTTTAATATCCTGATGGTGTCCACTGCTGAAAAACATTACAATTGGAAATAATTGATACTTTTGCCCTTACTCTTCAGAGTAAGCTGAGATCAGGAATTGGAAACATACCTATCAAATGTGATTTCTGGTAGGTAATTACTTTTTTCTTTTTTAATCCTTGCCTAATGGCCATTTACCATGCTGTTCTAAATTTTGGTTGGCAGAAATTGAGACTATTGAATTCTGTTTTCCTATCTACCCTGTTCATTTTATTTAGGGTTACCTCTTTATGGCATTATTCATGTTTATAAAACATTTTCCTCAATCTATATTCTGTGGCTGATTACCCTCATCTTTGCAACTCTTCCTCACTTTACGTGGGTTTTCAGAAAGTCTCAAAGATTAAGTCTTCCCAGTTAACAAGATGAGAATGGATTTTTCTCTAATTCTTCCTTCTCTTCTTTGAACTGTGTTAAAATAAGTTACTGTCTTCACACCACATACCATATCGCTTGCTTTTATACCTTGTAAATATTTTATGTATTCTTGTCTAATAGTTTGATTGTGCTGAATTTATAAATTTCAATGTGTCTTTTAAGCAGAATATCATTGCACAGATCTTATTAAATAATTCTTTATGGTTAAGTTCCTTATGGCACTAATCCAATGTTCTTTAGTGAACAACTAAAATGCTAAAGTAGAGAAACTAACCTAGAATGACAGAATGTTAGCCTGGAGGGTACCTCAGAGATCATCTAATCCAGACTCATAAAGTGTACAATATATTTTATTTTCATGGTTGTAAATTCTACATTGTAAAATTTAACTAGCACATCAAATGTGATTCATGAGTATTTTTACTTAGGACAAAATGAATGTTTTAAGAAAAAAGCATCTTGATTTAAAGAAAAACGTGAAGTAAATAATGATACATGGACATGAAAAAAATGAGTAGGTGATACATTAATGACTGAAATTTGAGAATACAAAATTCTGATCTGAACTTGTTTATAGCTTAGAAAAATGGTTCTCTAACATTAGTTAGACTTTTAAGCTAGCACAAACAGGACTGCTAACTCCCCAACACTTTTCTAAGAATTTTCTTTAGAAAAAGTTAAAATGTGCCATATTTTTTTTTTTTCATGTAATATATCAGATACCTGAAGAGAGAGAATGACATATTAGAGAGCACTGGACCAGATCATATAAGACTTTGATTTCTAATCCCTGTTCACTAACTATAAATTGTGTGACTGTACCCATGAACAATAGATGTAATATTATTAAATTTTTCTCAAATACTCCATGGACTCTCTGCAACTCCTTAAAAATTTCTATTTTACTACCCTTTGATTTAACAGCTATGGAATATCTACTATCAAGCCATTTACTCGGGGATACATAGATAAACTACGGTTCTTGTCCTCAAGAGAATTACCATACAGGGCAGGAAACTTTCTGTCACCTTTCTGAACTCCAATTCAGTTAGATATCAAATTGAGTGTCTTTTGTTTCTAAGTATTTGCTTAATGCACAATGCTACCATAAACATTCTTGTATGTGTTGAAGTGTTTTGGGTTTTTGGTGGTTGAGGGGAAGGCTTTTTTGTTGTTGTTTTGTTTTTGGTATACTTGTGATTAAATACTTCCAAAATGTTAAAAAGAACAGCTAAAGTTTATACTTCCATCAGCATATCATGATTCCCTACAACCTTATCAACAATTTCATACAACTTTTTAATTTTCTGCAAATCTGAGGGATATAAAGTAGTATGTTATAGTTTAAATTTGCATTATTTGATTACTAACAAGGTTGAAAATATCTTAATGTGCTTATGAATCATTTTGGTTTTTCACTTTGTGAAATGCCTTTCTATATCCTTTGTTCATTTTTCTACTGGGTTTTCTGGTTAATTTTCAGAAGTTTTTTATAGATTTTAAGTATTGGTCCTTTGTTAACTACATACACTGCAAAAAAAATGTCATCCACCTGTTACTGACGTCTTTTGTTGAACAGAAATCTTTAATGTAGCTAGATCATATTTTCCCTTTACAGGTTGTGCTTTCTGCATCTTATTTACAGAATCTTCTCTAATGTCAGAAAATTATTTTTCTACATTTTCTCCTAATAATTTTCTGGTCGTACCCTTCATGCTTAGGTCTGGGTTTCTTTATGTGTAGCTATGATTCCAGTTTTATTTATATTCATTCAAGTGAGCCAATTTCCCCAGTATTATTTGTTAGATAATGCATCTTCCCCCAGTGATTCATGATACCAATTTCACAATGTATCAACTCTTCATGGGCTGTATCTGTATTCCTTATATTCTTTTGTTCGTTCCTGCAACAGTATCACATGCTTTAACAGTAAGAACATGCTTTAAATATTATGGCTTTGTAATTTGTGCTAATATCAGAAGTGTGAATTTGTTCTCTCCGCTCTTCTTTTTGAGAACTGCTTTAGCTTTTGGTGACTTTTCCTTCCTTGTCAATTTAGAATTAGTTCCAATTCCATCTAGAGTCTTGTTGGAATTACATTAAAATCTTTCCTTTTGTAAACATTGTATATTTCTCCATTTACTAAGGTTTCTTTTTAATGTTCTTTTTAATTTTTTCATAAAGGTCATATGCAGTTTTTAAGTTAATTCTTAGATTTTTTACAGTTTTGGTTGCTTTGACATGCTTATTTTCTAATTGGTTATTACAGGTATATAGAAGGCTTCTGATTTTTTAAACATTGGGTTTTGTATATGGAAACCTTGTAAGGTTTTAGTCTTAGTTCTAATAGGGTCTTTGTTCAATTTTTAATGTACAGAATTTGTCAGTACTTATAATAAGCAGAAGTAGCAATAGCCGGCATTGCTTTTTTGTTCCTTGTCTTGGATGTAAGACTCCTAAAGTTTCCCCAAGAAGTACATTTAATGCAGGTTTTTGTAGGTGGCCTTTATCAAGTTTCTTAGTTTTCTTTTTTCACACCTACAGCACCCGGTATTCCTAGGTGGTCTCCCATCCAAGTACTAACCAGGTCTGACCCTGCTTAGCTTCCAAGATCAGATGAGATCAAGCATGTTCAGGGTGGCATGGCCATAGACCTTAGTTTTCTAAGAACTATATTATATGTAGGTAAAAACATTAGCAATGACTATTTCCGCACCTATTGAAATAAACATGTGTTTCCTCCTTTAGTCTACTATTATAAATTACACTGGATGATTTTCTGATGTTATTTTTCTATCCCTAGGAAAACTTGACAAAAATTTTTTGAATATAATGTTGGATGCAGTTAGCTAATATTTCATAGATGTTTGCCTTTAGATTCATAAGTGTGATTTTCTTTACTTATAGCTTCTATCCAGTGTGGTGTCAAGGTTATTCCAGTCTTATAAATTGGGGTGTTTCTTCTCCTGTTCTATACTCAGCAAAAGACCTGCATAAGAGTAATCTTTTCTTTAAAGATTTGGTAAAAAGTTACCTTGAAAATCATCTACACCTGGCTTTTTTAATATGGGAAATTGCCATTTTAATTTTTGAATGCTTATTGGTTTATTCAAGTTTTCTTTTTATCTTGGGCAAACTTTGGTATTTGATGGTTTCCCAGAAATCTTACACTTGATATGTTTTCAAATGTATTAGCATTTATCATATTATATATCTAGAGTTATTTCCCCTTTGGTTCATGTCTCCCCTCATTTTTGACATTCAGTAACAGATATGACAGCCTTATGTCAAATTTATAATTTTTTGAATAATTAAATTTGTTTTTGTAATCTCTTTGTTTCAGCTTTTATATTTTAATTTTTTTCTTCTTTATGTTTACTCTGCTGATTTTTGCCTATGAGTCTGTTCCACAAAAAAGAAAACCAGTGGATTAAATTCTTATTACTTATTATACTAAAACATTTATTTTTATAATTTATAACATGCAATGTCACCTGTTTTAAAGTATACTAATTATACTAAACATGTAATTATTATTTACAGAACTAATAAAGGGATCCATCATGATTTTAAAAATTCAGACAATATAAATAAAGTAAAAGATCCCTTTGACATCCTCTATGCTCAAAACTGATTTGAGTGATTAAGGGTTCCATATAGCTATTAAGTGGCATAGCCTAGATTTAGACTGAAGACTTCAGATTTCAAGGTCTGCAATTTTCCATTAAAATATTTCTTCAATACATATTTGTTGAACAAACATATGAATATCTCAAGGGTGGTGAATGCTTTCACTCTCTAAATGCTGGTTGATGCTTGAAATTCATCCTTAAAATTTCATTTCTTTTTGCTAAATGCCTTAACACCCTTGTAAATTATAGTGCTTATCAGTTAGGATTGTTATTAGTGTTATTTATGTTTTATTAAGAATTAAAAACATAATATATTACGTTTTTCTCATTATATACAGGCTCAATGCAGAAAATGTGAAAACAGGCAAGTATAAAGGAAAAATCACATCACCATCCAGATGTAAAATATATGTATTACATATGATTTACAAACATTTTTATATACTGTGGTAATATGGTGAACATTTCTCTATGTTAAGTATATTTTTAAAACAAACTTTAATAAGTATGTCATATTCCATCCTGTGCATGTACCATAATTTATTCAACCCATCTCCTATAGAAGAACACTTGGACTGTTTCCAATTTTTCATGATTTTTAAATATTTTGATTATTATATATTTGCATTTTTGAATATATTTATTTTATTGTATATTTATAGCTAATATCTGTCCACATGTTTCTTTTCCTAGGATTGCTGGGTGAAAAAGCCTTCACATTATAAATGTTTAACCTTTTTGCCAAATAGCTCATAACAATGTGTCAGTTTGGAGACTGTATAAGTACCCGGTTATTCAACCAAACACTAATCTAGGTGTTGCTGGGAAATTATTTGTCATTAAAATCTAGTCAGTTGACTTTATGTAAAGGTAATCTGGGTGGGCTAATCCATTCAGTTAAAAGGCTTTAAGAGTAGAACTAAGGTGTTCCTGAAAAGGAATGCTGTCATAAACCGCAGCTCTTGCCCAAGAATTCCCATTCTGTCCTTACTGATGGCTTGCTGTACATATTTTGGATTTTCCTAGCCAGCCAGCCCTCACAAACACATATCCCAATTCCCTGCAATAAATTTCTTACCCTATAAACCCTGATACACACTGAAACTATCCTGCCAGCAGAGTATGAGACTGCTCTTGATCATTTGCATCATAATGTGAAGTTTTTAGATAAACAGACAACTTTTGATAGATCACAATTCCAAAGATTCCTAGCAGAAATGATTAACATACTGTGTTTATGTATGTGTTTTTTTGTCTATGGTGTGGAGAGAGTGGGGAGAGGAGATATGGGATTAAAAAACATAAAATACTGTGAAGTTAAATGATTCCAGCTTATTTCGCAATTATGTCTAGAGCATTAAGTATATTGCTAATGTTAAAAGCCATTTTTTTAATGGAATGCCTCTAATTCCATCAATGAATTGGGTCCTTTAATTAACATCGTGTGGAATCTCTGTATAATCCAGAACCCACAGATCAACCAAAGTAACCTTTTAAAATATAAATCAGATATTACTCCACAAGCTTAAAACAGAAAGATATTGCACTTAGAATAAAATGTAAACTTCTGATCTTGGCCTATATAATTTTACACCTTCCTTTCTAAACTTATTTCCCCCAATCTCCTTTTCCCTCACTTCATCCAGACATACTGGCCTCTTTTCTTTTCATCAACCATACCACTCTCTTTCCTGTGGACCTGTAGACTTCTCTGTGTCCCCCTAATTTGGGCACTCTTCCTCCAGTTATTCCAAGGATTGGCTTCCTGGGAAAAGTAAGTTAATATTACTTTCTCAGAAAGGACCACCCTGTGTGGCTTAGTCTTCTACATTTTCCTTCAGATAGTCTGTCCCGTTGCCATTTTTTCTTCTCCAGAGTGTAAGCAAAGTCTGAAATGATCTAATTTACTGCATTTGCTTTTGATATTCACCTATTCTAACAGAACAATATTTATCCGACTCTTATTATATGCACAGCACTGTTTTAAGCACTTTACATGCTATTAACCTGTTTAATTTTCACAACAACCCATAAGGTAGGTATTATTAGTACTCCAGTTGTATAGATGAAGTACCTGAAGCTCATGAAGATGAAGTGGCATCACTTGCAAAACTGCCATCTCACTTGCCAGCTCTAGAAAAAAATCCCCAGGACGTTCTGTTGAACCATGTACAGACCGGCAGCAGCAGCAGCGCCTCAAGAATGTTAGAAATTCACACTCTCAGGCCTCACCTCTGGCCCAATGAATCAGAATTTGCAGTTTAACAAGATCCCCAGGTGATTCCCAAGTATAAATTTTGAGAAGCACTAGGCAAGGATGCTTCAATTTCCTAAGTCTCACCTTTAATTCCACACACACACACACACTCACTCACAATTGTGCTCCAAGCCCAGAAAGCCAACTGCACAGAAAAGAGAGTAGTGGAGAGGTCAAAAGGTTTTCCATTATGCTATTGGCCCAACAAGCAAGAATCCCTCTTGTCCCGTAGCCCCAAGCCCGCCTCACCCCACCTCCTTTTAGCATTCCTTGACTAAACTAGCCGTTGGCCGCTACCTATGACTAGGCTGGTCAGAGCTTTAGAAACACTGAAGAGAGAAGAGAGGGGGAAAAACAGAAGCTGGGCGGCTGGGGGGATGAACAGCAAACCATTGCTCTGCACCATTCCCTGCCCACAAGCCTTGCCTTCGGCCCTTAACAAAAATGGCGCTCGACATAGGTGCACTTCCGGCAACAGAGCCAAACAAAATCGCGTAGGGCAACAGACCGGAAGTGGCCACCTTTTTGGCACTCCTGCTACTTCTTTCCCCCGCCCCATCCTCCCTTAAGAGGATGAGGCGGCCTGAGGGCTGTGGCTGAACTGCATTTGCTGGGTGACAAGTCGGAACTAGGACCTTGTGAGTGCCCTCTGTCTTGGCCGCTGGCCGTTTTACTTCTCTCGAGGTGACCTTCAGGCGGCCAGGGCCTGGACTGGGGAGTCGTGCGCCGAGTGTTCTGTGACGAGGCGCCGCCGCGGTCCTGCGGGAAAGGAGCGAACGAGCTGGGCCTGCGGGTGGCTCCGGCCCGCGGATCCCGCGAGGCCGGAACCCGGGGCGTGGGGAGCCCGGTCCGGCGCACGCGGGGCGGTGGTGGGGGCTGGCCCCCGCTCTGCCAGCAGGGCTCTCGTGCCCGGTGTGGGAGGTGTGGAAGGCCTTTCCTCAAGGTACGTGGTTCTTACCGGCTGAACCGGGTCGTTGCCGTCACCCTGCCTTTCCCATGTAGCTTCTTCGTTCAGTGGGTTCTTGATCCTCTGGAACGCTCAGCCTTCCTTATGGCCACTTAGCTGCATTCTTCACATACACACCAGGGTTGGACTGTTGTTTAAACATTTTTGCTTGGTGTCTTTTTCATGAAAAGCTGCCTGAAAAAATTTTTTGTTAAACTTCCATTTCTTGTAGTTCTTGGTACTTTGGCTGGAAACAACAGTGCTCGATTTAAGCCTTGACTTATTTGTTGTGATGAGAATTTCTTCTTTCTAAACGTCAGTATTGAATTATGATCTTGGAATTTTATTTCTTCACTCTATGTATCCACCTCCACTCACAGAGCTCCAGGTGGAGAAACTTAATAACTTACTGTTTGTGAACTTGGCTTCATCTCACTAATCTTGTTCCGTGATATACTTAAGGGTCACATGTCAAAGTTAGCTTCAGTTAGTTTCATCTTCACCAAAAGGAAATAAAGTAGAAATTGCAACCAAGATTTTGGCCAGTGGAGTTCACTTATTTTAGTGGAATGCCACTCAAAAGAAGTCTGACTAAAACAGTTCTCCCCAAAAAGCAATTATCTCAAAGAATTTTGGTAGTTTAATTTTTCATTGAGGAGTTAATCAGTATCGCTGCAAAGTGTTTTTAATTTGCAGGTGTTTGTGATCCAGTTTAATTTGTGCACGTCTAACTTCATTTTTCCTCCTAGTAGCATAATGGCAGAAACTGCTTCTCCACTGAAGCACTTTGTGCTGGCTAAGAAGGCAATTACTGCAATCTTCGACCAGTTACTGGAGTTTGTTACTGAAGGATCATATTTTGTTGAAGGTTAGTTTGTCTAAATTTTTAAAGTAATTACTGTTGAAAATATACAAATGTGCATTATTCTTTTAACCTTAGTTACTGAACACATATATAGGGCATTGTGTTACATATATATTAGAGATAACATTACAAATAAAACTCATTTCTGCCCTCCAGAGGAGGAACATTAAATGATATTAATGACAACTAAGAAATAAGTGCTTGTATGTGAGGCGCTATTCTAAGCACTTTATTAACAACTCATTTTATATTCATTATACATAATATAAATTAATTTAATTATAATTAAATTGGATAAATTTAATTTGAATTATATTATTTCTTAACTCATTTCGGTAACATTAATACCCATTGAATCTTCATATCAACACTGAGGCGCAATTTTAATTACTCTCATTTTAAAGATAAAAAAAAAAACCAAGATTCAGAAAAGTCAAGCAACTTTCCCAAAATCAAACAGCTAGTAAATGCCCAGACTAAAAATCTGGCAGCCCATGTTTAACGATTATACTTATCTCCTCCCCAACTCAGCAGTTAAGCCAAGATCTCAGACCTGTCTTATTCTCTCAAATGAGGCTGGGATGCTGTGGAAAAAGGGTAAAAGTTTTTGTAAAATGACTGTAACCGTTCAAACAAAGGTGGTAAGGAATGTCTAACCAGGAAATACTGCTTTAGAGATAACTATTGAAAACTTTTTCTGATTCTTAAGATTACATGACCTCAAGGGTACAATGAAAAGGAAGGGATTCTGTAAACTTCTCTAGTGACAGTGGGGAAACATTTGGTAGGTTGGTAGAATTAAACTTTTTCCCTTGCCCATCCTAACCCTCCCTCACCAGATTTTGACTTCCTTGTGGGTAGCGATCATGCCTTATTATGGTATGTCTGTCACCAAATCAGACACAATTCAAGTTTTGCTGGAATGAGAAAAGAAAGTACTGGTATAGATTATGTTTCCAATTTGGAAAGAACTTGAACTGGCACAGTGACTTTGAATAGTATGTTATTATAAAAGAGTTGATAAGTGAAAATGAAGTTAAATGTAATATTTTGTGTATAGCGAGCCAGTTACAAATTGAGCATTATGCTAGGAACTAGTGAATAGCAGCTTTAGATTCTGAATTTGATTCTGCTGGTTCTAGAACCTCAGAAAAAAATATTGTAGAAAAGACAAAGCAAGTAAGTTAGGAAGATCATGGAAGAGCAAGAATAAAATGAAAAAGGTGAATGTAATGATATTTAAGCAATCTTCACCAAATTTCACATATTTTATTAATGCACTTGAAAAGTATAATGAGATATGTAAAGTGTAAGTTGAATTAGATGAGCACTGGGTAAACTGTATCAGTGTTTGTCTCTCATTGGGACTATTCAGATAGTCAAATGAATTTCCATGTTTTTATGTGCAAAATGAGATGATAAATATAAAACTGTTAGCATGTGTATTCCTGAAATAGAAACAAAACTGAAAGGCATTTTTACTTTTCAAACCCAGGCTTTTTTCCACTTATCTCTATACTTGGAGGAAGGGAGGTTGGAGCGAGGGGGTGGGATTCAATCTGCAATTCTTTTTTATGTGAAATGAGCTGTTTTGCTCCATCCCTGTGGGAAGCAGACAAGAAGCGATAAGGTAGCAAAGTCTGACCTAGCTTGTAGACCTTGAACCATATTTTTATTTCTTGGGGGTGCTTGTTTAGACTTGATTCTTTCTTACCACGTGGATCCCTGTTGTCAGCTCAAGATTTGAAGATCCAGTCAGGATGGGGACAATAATTGATGAATAGTAGGTTCTAATTTTTCTGTTCAGAAATACATTTTTGTCTTAGTTGGATATTTTGTATTTTTGAGGCCAAGGTGAATAATAGACACCTTTTTTAACTGGGCCCCTATAGTTCTTAATTTTTAATTTTTTGGGCAGCATTCTTATGACCCATTGCAAGGAAGCATTCACATTTTATCAGATATTCAGATACAATGGGTATTGTTACTTTTCAAATGGCATATTAATATAGAACAAAACAAAAATATGTGCATATCTTAGGTATTCTGTTGTATAATTAACTTAATATTTGTTTATATCATTTTTTCTGATACCGTTTCAATTTCATAGCAACATACAGAAATCCAGAACTTGATCAAATAGCTACTGAGGATGATCTGGTGGAAATACAGGGGTATAAAAACAAGCTTTCCATCATTGGTGAGGTGCTGTCTCGGAGACACATGAAAGTGGCCTTTTTTGGCAGGTAAACCTGTATTATTTCTTCTCAAGAGTAGTTTCCAGAAATCAGCTTCTCTTGGTCATATCCCCATCTTTGTTTCTGATGTTTCAGTAAGTGATATTTTCTCTGCAATAGTTTCTGCCTGTGTTAATTGTTAAAGCTATTAGCATGTAAGAGAATTTGTTCATTTTAGCTCCCAGTATAAAATGAAACTTTATGAAGGTCAGTCATAAAGTTTTTATTTTTAAGGATGCTCATCTCTAAGAATTGGCTTCTTAGCCAATTATAAGAGTGGAAATACAGCTTATGATATATATAATTTGTGACTTTTTTAAGCTTCTGCTGATTATCAGGTGTGTCTTGCAAAAAAATTCTCAGCCTCATGATTCCCGGGGAGAGAATGGGAGGCACCATTCATTATGTAACCATCTAGAGTGATAGAGTGATCTCTGCCACAGCTTCTATATATCTTTAAGGCTCATTTGTTAACTACCTATGTACCATGTAGTCTGTTAGGCACCAGGAATGCAAAGACAATACTTAGGCCCATACTTGGTTGCTTAAGTATTGTGTGCTATGTACCAATGGAGGCATTTGTTTACTCACTGAACTAACCTCATAGGCCTTCTAAGCTATTTTTCATCCTAGGGCTTTAGCACTTGCAATTTCTTATGCCTAGAATTCTCTTTACCTTGTTCTGTCTATGTCTTGCTTCTTCTTAGTCTTCAGATCTCATCCTAAATGTTACTACCTCAGAAACTTTCCCTTATCACTCTATCTAAAGTATTCTTTCTTAGTTATTCTCTACTGAAGCACCCTGTTTATGGCTTTAAAACATTTTCACAGAGCTCTGTTTTGTTTGTTTTTATTGTCAGTTTTTCTCACTTGACCATACATTCAGGGCCTAACAGTCTAGGGCGAGGTAGGTCTATTAAAGAGGCCCTACCTCAGATTTGTGTGGAGTAGGAGTGGGAGGGAAGAGGCCTCCTGGAGAGGTGATGACTCAGTTGTCCTACTGGAGAAAGAGAAATAGGTATTTAACTGCATGTGAAAAAGGTTCAGCCCAGATTTAAGGAGATGGGTCATTAGACCACATCTTATGTTGGGTCAAGTGTCATAGAATTTGGGGCTGTGATTTCAAATTGCCATAAGAAATAAAGTTAGAAAAGGCAAGGATAGCTTTATGGAAAAGGTAGAATTTGCTTTCTGCTACTTTATTTTTCTGGGATGTACATTGCTAATATTTGTGTAAATCAAATTGTCAACTCTCATGAAAAATATAATCTGATGAAATTTTAACAAAATTTGAATTCTAGAAAAGTCAGTCTTAGACCCAGTGGAAGAACAAAGTATTTACTGTTACGTTTTGTTTTTCATGTTACATTTTGTATATTCATTCTTCAGGACAAGCAGTGGAAAGAGCTCTGTTATCAATGCAATGTTGTGGGATAAAGTTCTCCCTAGTGGGATTGGCCATACAACGAATTGCTTACTAAGTGTTGAAGGAACTGATGGAGATAAAGCCTATCTTATGACAGAAGGATCAGATGAAAAAAAGAGTGTAAAGGTATTATATTTGACCTTAGCAACATAATGTATCTGAAACAATGCTTGTGTTCTTAAAAAACTATTTTATAAGATATCTGCATTTCTGGGGATGGAGGAACTATTAATGTATCTATTTATAGCTTTTAAAACCATCACTAATATTTTTAGTTCTCTAAAATTCTTTTGCTTCAGAGCTAAATTACTGGGTGAAGAAACCCTGTCCTTAACTTAAAATATAAGTAAATTAGAGTTGTAAGCTTATTAAGTTTTAAAAATAATGTTCCCAATGAAAAGAACATTATTGAAGTGTGTCATTGCTATTTAATCTTAAATACTGTCTTTTTAAAGAAAACTTTGTTTAAAAAAAGGATGAAGAAGTACAAATTAGTAGTTACAAAATAGTCATGGGGACATAGAATACAGCTAGGGAATATAGTCAATAGTATTGTAATGGCTGTGTGTATTGTAATGGGTGCTAGAATAATTGAGGGGATCACTTCATAAACTGTACTGTCTAGCCAATGTACTGTATACCTGCAACTAATATAAAAATTAAAAATTCGAGCCCTTAGAATTTGTTTTTGAAATATCTGTGCCTTTAGAAATTATCTTCAGAATATTTAGTAAACATATTTATGAATAAATAATATAGGTTTATCAGATAAGGGCCAATAGCAGTTCTTCATATGTCATAAATTTCTTAAGGAATTCAGTGCCACTAGATTTCAGACACACAGAAAAAAATTGTATATAAGATGTCGACTGGAATGAAAGCAACTGGTAAAAGCACTGACTATGGTTACTTTCTTTTAAGTCTTCTTTCCCACAAATGCAAAGATTCAGTGTTTGAAGTTCCATGCCATTTTAGTTTTTGGTAAAATGTAGGTGAATTCATGGGTCTGGTTTTTGTGTTGTGAGTTTACTGTTTCTAGATCAGGTAATGATCTGTGTAATACTTTTCAGATCAGTAGTGGGGAATAAATAAGATGGTGTATATGAAAATATTTTTCAAACTTTTAACCCATACAAATGAAGAAATCACGTATTATGTAATCAAGATTTTTAGCAAATCAGAATTCGACCTGTGCTTTAGATCCTCAAAGTTAAGTGTGCTATGATATTTTTAAAGAAATCATTCATTTTTTCTGATTGGTGCTCTGTACTTTCAGTCCTCTTCCTTCTTGCCCTTTTACTTCACTCCTCTACTCCAAAATTTAAATTTGTTTACTTAAAGGTGTAAATAGATTTTGAGTCTTGTGCTCTAATAGTTTACTTAGTAAAAGAAATGCAACAATAATAGCTAGTACTTTATTGGATACTTGGTATGTACCAGGCACAGTTCTAAATACTTGCAATAACTGAAACCTTACCACAGTTCGGTCAGATAGTTTAATTTAATTATCTTAATTTTATAGGTGAGGCAACAAGATTTTAGTACAGGTTTATAATTCTATCAAAAGGTTTATGAAAGCAAGCAGAAAAGAAAAAAACTACCTAACATTGTCACTATGGAGATTTATTTCAACCCTGATCCAGGACTATCGTGCTCATCTGAAAATAGATATTTCTCTTTAAAATTTGATACAGACCACAGATGAACCGTAGAGGGTATGCGTGCTGATGCCTTTTCCTTGATTAATGATGATTCTTCTGTTCTTTTTTTTTTTTTTACTAAGCAATGCACGTTCTTTTTAGAAGAGTCAGAAAGTACAAATAGACAAAAAGAAAAGCTCTCAAAACCACTTCCCAAAACCAGTGGAATTACTTTGGTATAAAGTTAAATTTGTGTTTCTTCATATTTTTGAAACAAAATCATTTTATATCGTGCTATTTTCTGATTTGCTTTTTTTTTCTCTTGATATATTATAAATTTCTTTTCCTACATAAAATATCAATTTCAAGGATTGCATAAGACTCTATTGCCACAGTTTTATTTTGAGGGGCATTTAGAATGTTTATAGCCCTATTTTTGCAGAATTTGTATGAGTAAACTGTGTAAAATGTACCAATATTTTTTCCTACTCGGTAATTTTAAAACTCAGAGTTTAAATCTTTAAAGATTTCTCAGGTGGTTTTATTTCAAATTATTTGAAGTTCTACTTTTTGTATGTTTTGCAAAAATAAATATTGTACCAATCTAGTATTTAAAATTTTTATTTAATTTTATTACAAGTAAAGTTTTGTTTTTTTCTCTTCCTCATGCTTTAGACAGTTAATCAGCTGGCCCATGCCCTTCATATGGACAAAGACTTGAAAGCTGGCTCTCTCGTGCATGTGTTTTGGCCAAAGGCAAAATGTGCCCTCTTGAGAGATGATCTGGTTTTAGTGGACAGGTAAAATTACATATGAATTGCATTTTCTCCTATGAAGGTATATTTAATAGAATAATGCTGCTTGCATTTAGTATGCACATTAAGATTTTAAATGTTCAATTGCTGCTTTGCTCTCATTTGCAAGATTGTTAACCAACAAATAAGATATTGGTTTTTGTATTTTAATGATATTATAAGAGTGCCAATTTTTTTCTATTAAAAGAAATTTTGAGAATGGCCACTTTTTTTTGTTTGTTTGTTTACCTAGACTAACTTTGTAGTTTGTGTAAGTGACTGGACCTTAGAGATTTTCTAATTCTAGATACCTAGATAAATAATTCTAAATAGTTAATTTTTTAAAGTAGGAATGAATTCATTCTTGAGAGTGAGTTTCCCAAAATAACTTTGCTGGCCAATTCTTATAGCTTTGCATTGTTCAAGAATTAATCGAGTACTCTTCGATTTTTTTCCCCAACTCTTCTGATTAATCTGCATTTATTATATATATTTTAAATCATCCTACTACACTGATACTTAATAAAATGATAATGTATACCTGTTAAGCAATGTCATTAACCAAAAAAGGCAGTTAAACAGAGTTTTTTTAAATTTTAATGTGTTCTGTTTTCTTTAGTTAAAATTTCAGTGTCCTATGGGAAACCATTTTGTTTTTGTTGATGGGCTCTCCATTTAATTGGAGATTGTTTCAAGTAATCAGAAATAGCTCAGTTGAGAGAAACTGCTTGTGAAATAAAACTATTTGGTTTAAATGTAGTAATAATAGCAAATTAATTTTGCTTTATTTCATGGCCAGGTTGTATCCATGACACCAACCTGTCAGTTTGCCAACTTGTCACAGGATACATCAGGCCAACCTATAGATAGTTGCACTATAATTTTAATAGTAAAAATTGTATATTAAGGTTATGTCTAGCAGGTGATGTTTTATTTTTCATTACTTATGCTTATAAACACTTAGTCTTCTCTGAGCTGTACTGCTGGACATAGCTGCTTGTACCTTCATTTTGATTATGTATTAGCCTAGTTTGGGTGTTTTGTACTTATTTTTTAGTCTTCCAAAGCATAAAAATTTTAAAGATTAAAATATCAACCATGTTATTTGTTTCCTTAAAAACATGAGGTTATTTGTCTTTAGTAAATAAATTTTTTTAGCATTTGCTGTCAACTGGATAGGTTCTTATCAGCAGAATAAATATATAGAATTATATAAAGCATATACCCTCAACTTACCACAGCTGCTCTCTTATAGGTGAGAAAGTAAATCTCCTAGGCTTCATACTGATGATTGGTAAAAATTCTGTCCTTTAGACTTTAAACAGTTTATAAAAGTTTGAAAAGTTGTCTTTCTATAATCCACATTTTCTTTTTAAAAAACGTAATTTTTATTTCATTTCCATTAGTCCAGGTACAGATGTCACTACAGAGCTGGATAGCTGGATTGATACGTTTTGCTTAGATGCTGATGTCTTTGTTTTGGTTGCAAACTCCGAATCAACACTAATGAACACGGTAAGATTTAATCATGTTATATTGTTTGAGTGGTAGGAAAAGTGAGGGAAATCCAAACCTTAGATCAGGAAGAATTTCTAATATCAAGGGTAAATGAGGGAGTTTGTGGTTCCATGGGAGTGGAGGGGCTGGTTTTGGTCTCGAGTGTCCCCAGGATTTGATGGCAATAGCTTCTAGTGAATTTTGGAGTTCAAAAATACATCTGTTCTGTTAACGTTTACTGTGGTTATTTACCTGTTTCAGGAGTGGGCACCAAAATTGTTAGGATGCTGACTTAAGTCTCTTGAATAACGTTTAAACACTAACCACCTCACATCCCTTCTGGCAGGCAAGCGTTTTCTGTTTTGAGTTTTGTCAACTTTCTCCAGCTTTACCTGTCTAAACTCTAAACTGCTATCAAACTTAGAAGACTATTTATCTGGAATGTCTATAGCCAGACTCATTCCAATTAAACCCTCCAGATTTTAGATAATCTAATATCTAAAACTATGACTTTTAAAAATTGTTATTCATCCAAAGCATTCAAATGGGTGGATACCACTATAACTTAGGTGTTGCCAGCAAGACTTCTCTTTTGAGAAGTGGTATCCGGCCATTTGTGTACTATCTGGTCGCTGTGTTATTAGAGTTTATATGGCCCAGTGGCCCAATCTATATCTAGACCAGGCTCCTGCAACAACACTGACAGTTGTTTTCATAACCTGATGATATAATAGATAAATATTTAAAATCTGTGTTAGAATAACTCCATTATTTGGGTGTTAGATAAATTTTGATATATTCTGACTTTGGTGCCTTTGTTTATGCTGTTCTTTGCCCACAATTCCCCCCTCTTAACTTTTTATCTTTTCAGAAAACCTTATTATCACTACTTTCAAGCCCATCTTTGTCACCACTTCCTTATTTATGGAGCTTTTCATAATTTCAACTAGATATGGTGTCTCCTTCCTTCGAATAGTTCCAGCATTTATTTATAGTATTTATGGCATATACCTTTCTCTGTTGTTTATTAGGATGTGTGTCTTAGATTATTATTAATTTACTTAGTCTAAATCTTAAAAAAGATTAGAGGTAGCTTTTTGAAAATATAGACTGTCACATCTAGCAGTTCCTTTTATATCCTGCATTTAGCAGAGATGGTGAAATATTCTTTAAATTGAATTTCAAAAAAAGATTCATGGCAGGAGCAGGAAACTCTTTACTTTTCCCTTGTATTTTTATTTTCTCCTCTTTGAAAAGTTTAATGTCAGAGTGCTTTGAGATACCTTATCAATGGGTATTAATCACTGTTATCTAAATGGTTCAAATTTTTAAATAAAGCTTCAGTTATATATAAAAATACAAAAAAAATAGCTTTTAAATATGAACATACTGTTGGGCGTTTGATGTTTTTCAGGAAAAACACTTTTTTCACAAGGTAAATGAGCGACTTTCCAAGCCTAATATTTTCATTCTGAATAATCGTTGGGATGCCTCTGCATCAGAGCCAGAATATATGGAAGATGTAAGTTATTTTTTTCCCTTAAGTTTTGAAATATAGTCATGTACATTGTTATCTGAGAAAACTACCTATAGACCAGAACATTGTAAGCAGCTATTGTCTTACTTGAGAAAAGAATATAATTATAGAATCTAAAGTCAGTATGGGGTAGAGATGAATATTAAGCTACTTTGAAGGAAAATTGTATTATAAAAGTACTATTTATTCATTTTAGTTCTTGACACTTCATTTTTGTTTGTTTTAATTTTTTATTGAAGTATAACAAAAAGTGTACAAATCATAATTGTCCAGCTCAGTGAATTTTACTAATTTAACACACCTTTATCAGGATCCACATCAAAAAGCAGAACATTCCCAGCATCCCAGGATCCACCTGCTCTCTCCATTCTCTGTTCTCCCTCCCAGGGATAACCACTTATCATGTCTTCTTACACCTTAGGTTAATTTTTTCAGTTATTCAACTTTATGTAGTGGAATCATATCATATTTACTTTTTGTACCATGTTTCCTTTGCCCAACATTACATTTGCGATCTACATCCATACTGTTTTACATAGTTAAAGTTCATTCTCATTGCTGTACAGTATTTCATCCTGTGATTAACTACAATTGATTGATTCATATTGTTAGTGATGGGCATATGGGTAAATTTCCTGTATTTAGTTATTATGAATAATGGTGCTGTGCATATTCTTATATAAGTCTTTTTAGTGCACATAGTATATATTTCTGCTGGGTATATACCAGTGGTTCTCAGTGTGAGGGGTTAGACACTTTCGACCCCAGAGAATATTTGGCCATGTCTGAAGACATTCTTGTTGTCACAATTGATGGAATGTGCTTCTGTCATCTAATGGGTAGAGGCTAGGGATAATGGTAAACATCCTATATCACAGAATACCCGCCCCTCCAAAGATTTATCTAACTCAAAATGTCAATACTGCAGGGATCAGTAATCTATAGGCATATGTTTAGGAGTAGAATTGCTGAATTACAGGTTAAGAATATGCTGTTTTAGTAAACATAGCCTAAGAATTTTTTAAAGTGCTTGTACCAGTTTATGCTTCCACCAGCTGAATGAGAGTTTCAAGTGATTTGTATTCTAACCAACACTTGGTATTATTGTTTTTCATTTTGGTCATGCTGGTAGTTTTAGAAACTTCTTTTTAGAAAGAATAGTGTATCTGACACTTTGTCTATAAATAATATTTTATTTGCTTGATATACTACATTTTATGATTTTAATAATGGTATCTGGTATTTTAAAGAATTAGAAAACATAAAAAATGAAAATTCACACTATCCTATCACTGTTCACATGTTAGTTTATTTGCTTTCATTGTTCCCCCCACACCCAAAATTAGAATTTTGCTTAATGTGAAGCTTTATATTCTGCTATTATTGACTCTCATTTTATAATCATACTCTTTCAAATTGGTAATTCATTTAATCATCAGAGAATTAGGAAAGGTCATCCACAGGTGGTTCTTCCCCATTCTTATTTAGCTTAATTTTACTAAGTGTTAACATAGAGATTTCTTATCATAGCCATAATACTTAATTTATGAGATTTCTTATCATAGCCATAATACATAACCCTAATTTTAGCCCTTAGTCCTAATTCTAACACCCAGTGCTAACCGTAAACCTAACATTACAACTCTAACCCCTAGCTAATGCATTCTCTTCAACTTTAATTCCCAGCGTTTTTAAGAAAAGAAATATACTCTTTATGTCCTGATTTCAAAATAAATAATAGCTTCATTGTAGCAAATTTATTGTAGCACTTATTTCCTAATTTCGAAAGTATTAAAAGCCTCATTGTAGAAAATTTGGAAAATAAGAAAAATATAAGGAAGGAATTAAAATGCTACCCATTCTTGTGAGTGTTGGCCTGCATGCCACCTATTAATTTACATAAATATATACACATTTCTTTTTTGTTATGTAATCATGTACATCCTTAATACAGAATTAGCAACTTCTTCCCATGCCATTAAGTACTAATATTTGTCTATGATATGTTTCATAATGGTTGCATAGAATTTGATGGTCCATCAGAATTTTAAAGTAAATGTTCAAAGGGAGAATCATTTAAATTAAGAGACAGATTTCCTTTCACTAAGTATCAAACTTTATTAGAATTATAATTAGGATTTGTTAAGTATATGGGAACTATTGCTATGATATCACTATAAATGGAGTTTAGCATAGGCCTGTAGCTGTTATTTTTGTTTAATTATTAAAATTGTTTTAATACCCTGTTTTTCTCTAGGTACGCAGACAGCACATGGAAAGATGCCTACATTTCTTGGTGGAGGAGCTCAGAGTTGTAGATCCTTCGGAAGCACGAAATCGTATCTTCTTTGTTTCCGCAAAGGAAGTTCTTAATGCTAGAATGCACAAAGCACAGGGGATGCCAGAAGGTGGTATGTATTCATTATAGATTTCCTTTTAAAATACAAGTGTAGGTTATAAAAACAGTATGCTAGAAATCCCACCTTGTTATGTATTGGGTTTTTTAATCTTCACCTGACTATTACAGGTGGGGCACTTGCGGAAGGATTTCAGGCAAGATTACAAGAGTTTCAGAATTTTGAACAAATCTTTGAGGTAGGAATTTTGTGAATGTATCGGCTAATGTAAGACCCTAACGTTGGTTGGAGAGTGATCATAATGTTCTATTTTCATAATTTTTCTTTGTCAATAACTTTACTGTTATTTAGTGTAGTTACACAACAAGTGAAGCAAGGAAGGTTCGAAGAAAAGAATTCCCTGCAAAATGGATGATCCGTAAGAAATGAGAATTAAAGATTGTAATTTCTTTCTTGATCATTTTCCTTATGTATTTGTATTTCAATGAGAAACACTTTCTAATATTGCTTGTGTTTTACATTGAGGGAACTTCTCTATAGTCAGTAATTTGAGGCAAGATTAAACAAACGTAATGGCTATTGGTATGGAATAGAAAGAGCATAGTGAAGATCATTTTTTCTTTTGTACCATAGTATTTATAGACAGGTATAGAACATAGTTAATGTCATTTGATGGAAGTTTATTACATTTCTAAACTGTTGTTGCTTGTTAATTCTCCACACTTTATGTCAAATGTCCTGAACATGTGAATGAATACAAAAATAACTAAGATACAGATCCTGTACCTTAGGAATGTGATAGGAATTACTGAGGCACGTGAAAAGCTAATGTGTGTGCAGCATTGGGGAGGGAGGATACTTCTTTATGTTTTGGTGTAGTTTTATTCAGAGACATTAAAATTCATCCTGCATTTGACTCAAAAGTTCTTTAGGTGTTAAAAGACACAGATAATAAAAGACATCTAAACTCTTATTTAGCCCTATTTATCTCTGCTTAGATTATATATCCTTTTCACCCACAAATGAACACAAAAACTGCAGAACTTAAAAACTTCCATTTGTACTTATTCTTCCTTAAAAGCAGTAACTGCCTTTATAGTAAGGACATGAATGTTAAATGTACTGGGCAGAATTTTTTTAATTAAACATTTGTTCACTATCCCCCATCTTTAATTTGATGAGAAGCAGATTATTAGGTAGATGAAGACAAAGAGTTTAAGGAAGAAAAATCCAATACCAACTATCTTGGTGAGATCTGATTATTCAGAGGCTCCTGGAATATCAACAAATATCTTCTCAAGCTAGGCTATAGGATACATGAAGTCCTAGTTACCTAAAGACCATTGTTATCTGTTTATTTTCTTTCTTTAGCTTTCACAAGAGATTTGATGCTCTCCTCACTCTTATCAGTTATTTTATCCATAGGGAAAATATTGGGGAGAGGATCTGTTCTGTTTCCCTTGTCCTTCCTTACTTACTGACCTTTTCTTCCTTCCTTTCCTTCTTTTCTCCATTTCCTTCTCTTGTCTTTCCTTTCTTGTTTGTCATCAATTTCTGCTACCAGATCATATACTCTTCCATTATACATTTGTATCTTTTTCATATTGGTTTCTGGTACAGTTTTTGCTTTCCCAGCATATCTCCTTGAAGAGGTGGGAATGAGAAGAATAAAAAATGTACTATAGAGTGCTGGTTCCCAAACCTGGCTGATCTTGAGAATCGCATGAGATACTTTAGAGATCTGCAGATTCCTGACCTATCCTGGTTGCACTAGGATGGACCTAGAAATCTGTATAAATTCAAAGCTTTCCAAGTGATTGTAATAATCATGCAGACTTGGGAACTGTTCTTTTTAATGTTTGTAGGAGAAAATTGGGAGTTTACTTTTTTTTTAATCAGAAAGTCCATTTGGGGATCTAAAAATTACATACAGAAAAAAAACTGTTTATGAGCAAGAACTTTTAAATAAACTCATGGAAAATGTCAGGATTTAAAATTTGAAATGTGATGTGGTTCCATAGAGTAGTGGTTAGCACGTCCGCTTTACATGCAGAAGGCCCTGGGTTTGAGCCCCAGTGGAGCCACAGTCCATACCCCGGGCACGCCAGGCTCCGGGCACGCCAGGCCCTGGTTTTGTGCTGTGAGCTCGTGGGAAGAGACGCCCCGTCTTCAGAGATCCATAGGTCAGGGGTGGAAGTGTGTGTGTGTGGGGGGGGATTAAAAATCTAAAAAAAAGAAATTAAAAAAACAATTTGAACTATTTGTTTAATAGAAACTATTATAGATCTAAAATGAGAATCAGCCAGAAATTATATGAATTTACCTGAAGAAATGATCAAATAGGCCAAGAATTTTGTCTGGATGTCCAAAGCGTTTTAAATGAAATTGTGGTTTGCTTTTTGTTCTTTAAGGAAGACGTTAGGGCTATGAAATTGTCTTTGTAGCTTTGGACTATATTTTGGACTATATTCCATGGATTTCAGTATCCAGTTTAGTTTTCATTGTTTGTTTTTAATTATAGCTTTTGGAATTTCTTATTAAAATGCAGGAGTTAAAATTCAGATGTTTTAATTCTTTTCATCAACTTTTAGTTGTTTCTTGGATTCTTTGCATTGTGATCACCAGATATAGCCTTTATACACAACTTTCTCTTCATTTTTAGAATTCCCTTTTTTTATAGTCTTATGTGATGATTTTTGTGAAAAGAAAAACTGTACCAACCTTGTTTTTATCAAAACTGTCTGATTTTTGCCATGGACTTCTTTGAGATTCATTTGGTTCAAAGGAGCTAAATATTAATGAACATGTAGAATACTGAGTTAAACAAGGCTTGGAAATTAAATCAGGTAAAATCAATCAAGAAAATCATTGATTCTATTAATATGTTTTCTTGTTTTCAATCTCTGTTTGGACAGGTGTATATTCTAAATGCCATTTAGAAATCTAAATTTCTTTGCTTTAATATTTGGCTATTAACTATTTTTAATAGTTTTGGTTGTGTAAAAATATATGTATATATATATAGAGACATTTATCTGAATGGAGTGTAAGAGAAGGAAAGGTAAACAAATGAGGCTGAATGTTAACATTTAGTGTAAGTTGAGAATGGTGAATGTTATGTTATTGAATGTTTGGGATCTGTTATCAAGGGGTCTTGACAACATTTTACATTTTAATTACACATAAATATTAATATTTACATATGTGTAGCTATGTATGATTAATTACCAGCTGGTTTCTTTAGATGTTATTATAAAATCAGAAAACTATCTTAATTGAGATATAGTTATTGTTACAACGTATCTTTAATAAGTTGTAAAACAGTCTACAACATACCTTGACAAAATGGCATTGAAATTGGTTTGGTGTAGTATTTTAAACTTTTCCTCGGAAAATTAGAGTACCTGATAAAATAAGTCTTGGAACAGCTGCACACTATGTATATTCCCCATGGAGATTTATAAGCATATTATGTCGATTGAGGACTCTGAGAAATACTTCAATAAAGAAGCTTTAAATTAGCATTTCCCAAACATTTCAGAATAAAGTATTTCTTTTTCAGGTTGACTCGATGTTTTTCTGATCAGTGAGAACATCAGTGTGGATACTTTTTAATTAGAACAAGATTGCCTATTCTTTATACTTACTCATCTTGTATATTTTTGAATGAAGGAGTAATTTTTATATTGCCTAATAACTTTTGGAGATCTTCTTTTTTTCCTGTCTAGTCTAGCTCTAATACTGTGCTGTTATCTACAAATTTGGGGTCTTCATTGCTGAGATCTAGATCTACTTCATCGAGGAACAGAATTTCTTTTAACCTTTTTTTTTTTTAAATATTTTTATGCTTTTGTTATAATTGTTTATGGAGGTTAATTTAGCAGTTTATGAAACGGATATTTAAAGTAAAACTTACGTTTTGTTTTAATTGTTTAAAAAATAAGCAGTTTACACTTATTACACAATGTTTAATATTGTGTAGGTGTTAGTGGGTTTTGCTTTGGCATGTACAGAACAGGAATGCTGTAACTTCCTACCACAAATCTCCTCAGGATTTGTGATGTGCAGTGATGTATAAATGAGCTTAACCACAAGCAAAAGTGAGGCTATGCAATGGAAACAAGTAATGGTCTCTGAGATAAGGCTTTATAAACTGTTAACTAAATGAATTAACCTCATGAGCTCTATAGCTAAATAACAATTTGTTTTGTGTTCTATACCTTGAACAAAATACTGAAAAGAGAAGTTAAAATGGCAAAAAAGATTTTAAAAGTCTTTTCTATCTTAATGAAGTGAACAAATAATCATTTTAGAGACACGAAGCCTAGGCCTAGGTTATAAATAGTGCATTGGATGAATGTGTTACATACTGAATTCGAGATAGTAAGTATAGGACTAGAGTTTGAAGTGAATACCCTCTAAAACCTGAAAGCTATTTATTTTAATGAAGGATAGTAATTACTATAGGAAGTAATGACCACAATTTTGTACTAGTTATATGTATAAAGAGATTCAAGAAGTTGAATCCAAAGAAATATTGGAGTTGGGGTATATCTCTACATTTTAAAAGTTTGTCATAGAACATAAGCATGGCCTCTTACAAAACATCTATTATAGTTTTTGATGTTGTAACCCAGATCAACATTCTTTGATTATTCAAAGACTAGATAGTATTCCTCTGTAAATACTTGTAGTTTTCAATGTTATGTCAATTTCTATGAGGTAAAAATGAAAGGCTGATTTTAATTTAATAATTTTGCAAACATTCAATGATGACTCACCATAAATATTTTAAATAAAAAAGAATATGCACATATATTGAAATTGAAGCCAAAATTTTGCAGAATAAATATCTATCACTATATGTGATGCACTCTGTTATATTCTCTTCTATTTAAAAAGACTTTGGTCATGAAACAAACTGATTTGTACAGCTATTAACATGATGAGCAGCATTTAGCTTGAAAATGAAACAAACGAGATAAGGTATCATTGGGACTTGTATACACACACTATAGACCAATGACAATAACAGGATTATTTTTGAAATAGCTGTAGGTATTTTTCCAAAAACAATTAAAAATATTACTTAGGTTGTTACTTGTTAAAGAGTAGTTTTCAAATTGTTCAGGTTTTAATCTGTAAAAGTCCTTTTTAATAACCTATGTGAATGATATTCAACTAATTTTAATATGGTAGAATTTAATTCATAACTCAATTAAAAACTATATAGATTATTGTAAGTATGAGAAAATCAAGATAGATTAGAAGTAGATTAAAGACAATACAAATAAAATTAGTAATTCTAAAGGAAAAACTTTTTCTAACATTGTAAGTAGTACCCTGTTTATTTTTTAATATAGTTAAAAACCATTGCACATTACTGTGTAAAATTACACAAAGATATGAACTTGCTGTTTTAAAGCCCTTTTACTTTTGAATCTTTGTAATTTTTTTAACCTTTGCAATTTTAAGTTGTGTTTATCATGCATTTATTTTCTATCTTTATTTCTGTTTTGGTTAAAGTTATAAACAGCAAGTTTTTGTGTTTAAATTCCTAAAAATATTGGGATGGAATTACAGTAATGTGTTATGGCTTGGGCCCCTCGCAGGAGTGTATCTCGCAGTCAGCAGTGAAAACAAAGTTTGAACAGCACACTATCAGAGCTAAACAGATACTAGATACTGTGAAAAACATAATGGATTCAGTAAACGTGGCAGCAGCAGAGAAAAGGTATGAATTCATTTTATTGCAAAATAAAAATGTAACTGTCCATATGAATTCCTTAAACTAAGCTTTTAAGTTTTATAAATACTTTTCCTACTAAAATCAACCTTGTGGGTTTAACTGATGCCTACTTGCATGTTTTTAAGTGAATATTTTAAACTAAATATTTATTCCACAACCTTGAACACATCATTTACAATCCCTGGATCTTGGTATTATTGTTTATGAGTTGTGGTTTTAAAATGTTTAATGGCTTTAAAATATTTTTAAAGCAGTGGAAGAACCATTTCTTCAAGTTGAATTTTTTAAAGTCCAAAACAGATGACGCTCTTTTTTACATTGAACTTAGGAGCTATATTTTATGTATTCATACCTTAAAATCATTTTTTATGCCAGTTGTGGTTTTTATCAGCTGGTAAATAAACAAGGTGAGTATACCTGCCAGCCAGAAAGTCAATTTGGTAAGCACTACCCTATATGTCATACTATACTGTGCCATTTTATTCATTTATTACTTTATAAAGATAGGAATGAGTCCATGGAAGTGTCAACACTATTGAAGAAAAGAGTAATTCTTACAACCTTAGTACACTTGAAACAAAGATCAGGATGTTATTAGATGTGTCAAACATAATCTTAAGACTCAATTGAACCTTTATTGGGCTTAAGCAAAACAAAAGAAAGATTTAAAACATTAAAGATTAAGTTCAAGATGACATATAATTGAGAATTTTGAATGTGTATTTGATATTGCTGGGAACAAAACTTAGCTCATATCTAAGTCTATTGCCTAATTTCAACACTTTTGCAAGAATGTATTATCTGCAAAATTAGAGAATTTCCAGACTATAAAACAAAACAGCAAGAACCCAGTCTGATCTCAGCCTTGTGCATTATTTCTGTATAATGAGATTGTGTTGTCATTTATGTCCCTTTCAGCTCAATTGCTTTATTACACTAGCCAAAGTAAGTATTTGGTCTGCTGGATTGACCTTATTATTGATTTTTTAAAATATAGGACATTGGACTAATCATGGTACAAAGATGCGATTTGGGGACAGTTTGTATCATCAGAATGTCTTGGGAACACTTAATTAGAGATGATCTTAAAAGGATCGCAGGCCTTTTTTTCCCCTATATCATCCACAGGTCGACAAATTTTCTGTAATGTCCAGATAGAAAATATTGTAGCCTTGTGGGCCGTACTTTCTCTGGCAACTACTCAATTCTGCGTTTTAGAGCAAAAGCAGCTATCTAGACAATAGATAAATGAATGAGCACAGCTATATTCTAATAAAACTTTTGAAAAAAACACTAGCAAATGGCTGGATTTGGCTTGCAGGATGCCATTTGCTGGCCCTTGTTTATTAAGTAGAGTTAATATTGATTTCTATTAATATCTATGAAGTGTTTGGAGACTTAGAATCCTTATTAATCCTTTGTAGGACTCAAGTGTCACATGGGCAGAGAAACAAAGTAGTTCATATCCAGTCATCTCTAAGTGAAATATTTGAATCCTTTTTGATGTTGAAATGAGATTTTTTTTCTTGTATCATGCTAACAGATGGTTTAACACATAATTGACTGCCCTTGCTTAATTGTTTTGGAATTTTAAGGTACCTGAATGTTAATTACTTTTCATACTATAATAGGGTTTATTCAATGGAAGAGAGGGAAGACCAAATTGATAGACTGGACTTTATCCGAAACCAAATGAACCTTTTAACACTGGATGTTAAGAAAAAAATCAGAGAGGTTACAGAGGAGGTGGCAAATAAGGTAGGTAAAAGTAACTTAATGATTAGAAGACAGAATGGAAATACTTTTAATAATGCTAAAAACATTACCCTTATTGCCTTAAAGGAATATTTTAAGTTTTTTCAATTTGATTTTTTGAGTGGTTGATAATCTTATTTAATTTTTTTACTCTTGATTATTTTTGTATTTTCAGGTTTCCTGTGCAATGACAGATGAAATTTGTCGACTCTCTGTTTTGGTTGATGAATTTTGTTCTGAGTTTCATCCTACTCCAAGTGTATTGAAAGTATATAAAAATGTAAGTTAAATTGTAGTTAGAATTTATTCACATAATTTCCTCACCGTATTCTTCACTCTTATGTAGGGTTTGGCCATTTAAGTGTCTTTATTGCAATCAGTACGTGATAGAACTGTTAACATCTCTTGTGTACTTTTGTAATAAATGTAAATTATCTTGTATATAAGGTGCACAGCAAAGTTATCCTTTTAGAATAAGGTCATTTTAGTACTTAACTACATTTTTAAAGTTTTTATAAAATCTGCTTAATATTTTAGAGAAAAAATGTGGACATTTATTGTTTTTAACAGGAGTTAAATAAGCACATAGAAGATGGTATGGGAAGGAATTTGGCTGATAGATGCACCAATGAAGTCAACACTTCAATGCTTCAATCCCAGCAAGAAATTATTGGTAATATTTATGGCTACAAGTGCATGTGATTTATTTTCCTTTAGATATTTTATACAGTGTAAAACAGTATTTACTATCGTTTCTTAAAATAAATGTCGTAATTTTGTTCTTTCTAGAAAATTTGAAGCCATTACTTCCAGCTGGTATACAGAATAAACTACATACACTGGTTCCTTGCAAGAAATTTGATCTCAGCTATGACCTGAATTGCCACAAGTTATGTTCAGATTTTCAAGAGGATATTGTATTTCGTTTTTCCTTGGGCTGGTCTTCCCTTGTCCATCGTTTCTTGGGGCCTACGAATGCTCAGAGGGTGCTTCTAGGCTTATCAGAACCTATCTTTCAGGTATTGGTTTTTTTGTTTTATTTTTTTTGTCTTAAGGCTTTTTATTTTTTTTGTCTTAAGGGTTTTAAGATGTTTATTGCTGTACTACTACACAGATATGTGTCTTTGATTCTACCAGTTGAAATTCTCTTTTTTTATTTTGTTTATGTGGTTGTCTTGAGTATATACCTAGGGGTGAAATTGCTGAACCATATGGCAATTCCATGTTTAACTTTCTGAAGAACTACCAAACTTTTCCATTGCGGCTGCACTAGCAATGTGTTAAGGTTCTGTTTCTCAGCATTCTCATCCAGACTTGTTATTGTCTGTCTGTTTTATTCTAGTGGACGCGAAGTGTTACCTCATTGTAGTTTTGATTGTATTTCCTAAATGACTACTGATTCTGAACATCTTTTCATGGCTTTTAGCTGTTCTGTCTATTCATACCATTTGTTCAATTTTTATTTGGGTTATTTGGCTTCTTATTGACTTGTAGGAGTTCTTTATATATTCTAGATATGAGTCCTTTATTGGATATGTGGCTTCCAAATGTGTTTTTCTAATCTGTAGCTTGTCTTTTAATTTTCTTATGTATTTTTAAGTGTAAAAGTTTAATTTTGAAGTCCAATTTTTTTTTAAAGGATCGTGTTTCTGGTGTGAGAAATTTTTTTAAATATAGTTTTAATTTCTTTTGAGAATTGTGGGCCTACTGTTACTGGTAGACTCATTGTATATTATGAAAATTCATTATTCTTTACGATATCAGTCATAGAAAATAGTTTCATAGAAAATGTTTCATTGCATTTCTATTTTCTTCATATATTTATGGTATACTAATTAATTGGAGTCATTCTTTTCATTGATTTACTACTATAATTTTAAAAGAAATGCAATAGAATTTTGTAAACATAACTATTTCATTTGTGGTTGTTTAACTGTAATGATCATTTTTTCCCAACCTTATTAGCTCCCCAGATCTTTAGCTTCTACTCCCACTGCTCCCACCAATCCAGCAATGCCAGATAATGCATCACAGGAAGAACTCATGGTTACCTTAATAACAGGATTAGCCTCTCTTACATCTAGAACATCTGTGGGCATCATCGTTGTTGGAGGAGTGGTAAGAAGCAGTACTTTTTAGTATAATGAAATTTGAAATTTTTGCAAAGCTGTCTGCTAGATCACAAAGAGAAAGGTATATTTCTATTTGCAAGATCTACAAAATGACAAAGTTGTAGGTTAAAATTAATGAATGAAGAAGAGTTCATAAGCCTACTCTTAAATTTTTAAGAATATTTGTTTACATACTTTTAAATTTAAATATAATTTACCTATATGACATTGTATTTTAGGTATACAACATAATGATTAGATACATATATGTATATACTGTGAAATGATTACCACAATCTAAATTTTTTAAAAATCCATCTTTAGAAAAGAAACACCACCAATTAGCTAGTCCTTAAAACAATGCTTTCTGACTATTTTCCCATCACAGCACACAAATAATATTTGTACATTGGAGTAACAAGAATGATCCAAGTTCCTTATGTAGCTTTCTTTGACTACCAAAAGGATCTGCCTTAAAATATTAATGATTACTTCTAGTAGTAGTTCTTATCTGTTAAATAAAATTTCCCATCATTAACAGCATAGATTTACATATTTTGGTTTTTAAAACCTCTGACCTAAAAGAAATTAACCTCCCTCTTTTGAGATACATTGAATCAACTTACCAAATGTCTGGCACATTATCAGAGTTCTTGTCTGATATTTATATGCCATTCATTTTCAGCTTGTTTGGTTTCTAATAACTTCAGATTTTCATAGAGAAGGAATATACATTTTTAAAAAATGGATCTGACTCAAAGATTTGTAGGGAACTGATGCCTCTTAATATAATCTCCCTAGTGGTGTTTTTCTTTCTCAAAATAAGTTGCAAATTTATGTTACAGATTTGGAAAACGGTAGGCTGGAAACTCATATCTGTTTCATTAAGTATGTATGGAGCTTTGTATCTTTATGAAAGGCTGACCTGGACTACCCGTGCCAAAGAGAGAGCCTTTAAACAGCAGTTTGTGAACTATGCAACTGAAAAACTGCAGATGATTGTGAGTTTCACGAGTGCAAACTGCAGCCATCAAGTACAACAGTGAGTTGAACACTTTATCTTTGGTTTAAAAGAAAAAGTTCATTGAAGTATGATATTACATGCAGAAAATGCACAAATAAGAGTATAGCTCAAAGTATTATCACAATGTGAACACATTTTGTTATCATAAACACCTGGGTCTACCAAGTGTCTTCTTTTATATATCTTAAGTATTTGTTTCATTGATTTAGTAAAAATATATAGAACTTCAGTAGAGTCAGTGCATAATATTCTGTATTTAGATGCTACTGAGAAGCGAGTTAAAAAGTTCACTGAGCTAAAGATGATTGTAGTTTAATTGAAGAAATAATGTGCATAATTATAATAAAAGGCGAAAAGATAGATAATATGAGAGCCTCTCACTATGTGAGACTCTAGAATCTGATATGTTAAAGGCTAGTGGATCAATAAAGGTTTCCTGGAGGAGGGGTGGAATGGGCACAATAAGATCTAGGCAGAGAAAACAGCCCAAACCAAAGGCAAGAGGGTAGAGGAAAAGGAATGTGTTCAGAAACATGAGAGAATTTTGGTGAAAGGCGTGTATATAAGGGGGATACATTCGAGTGTAAACATTAAGACGGGGTTGAATAATTAGGACTCCTGGGAGTGATAGCATTATTATTTAGCTTTAACAAATAATTTTACGGTGGTATGGTGTGTATAGAATGGTTTAGATTAAGGAGACAAGAATTTGCAGAGAGATTATACTGTTTTCAGACAAAAGATGAAAGCATGTTCTAACAGCTACTGAGAATAGAAACAATGAGAGCGTGTATTTGAGACCACTGAATTAGTTCATTCATTCATTCACCAAATATTTATTGAACTCCTGTTTTATATAATAGTTTTAATTTTATACTAAGGAAGAGCTTTCTTCTAAGGAAGATACTTAGACCTCTAACACAAATCAGCTGATGGTCTCATACATAAAAACAAAATTAATGAAGCTTTCTATTCATCTCATCATCAAACGTTTATTAATTGCCTACCATGTAATAACAACTTTGCTAGAGGTTATGGTAAATAAAAAGTTAAAGATGACTTAATTCTCTTCCTTAGAGGGCTCCACACTCTAATGGAGGCAACCTTAACTAATTACTCAGGTAAAATAATATTAGCTAAATACTACGTTAATAAAATATGCTTTGTCAAATGTTGGTAATTGATGGGATGTGGAGAAAATGGTGAGGAAAAAGACCAGGGCAAAGATGAAGATGAACAGAATAGTTGCAGAAAAAAATGAGTCAGTCAATCATATTCCAGAGATATACACCTACTGGGCATGCTCCTAGTTGCAGAATATGAACATAATGTTTGCCAAAGCAAACCTATTAACTAGGACACAAAATAAATATAACCCTTTGGTTTAGAAACATGGTTAAATGTTGCTATGATTTAAAGATTTTTGCCTGTCATGGGAGTTCATGAAATTTTCTTTCCCTTTCTCAGTAATTATTTTTATGGGAAGGAGACAGGAGTAAAGCTTATTGTGCTTCTGAAGAAATATATCCATCTTTTGCCTTTTTATAGCTTATTCATATTCACAACCATGTAGCAGAGGTAATATAGCCTGTTGAGCATTGGTTTTGAGGACAGATGAAATTAAACCGACGGTCATATTACGCTTACAAGTGCTATTCCAACTTCTCTTACCATTCTTAGTACTTCTTATGCTTTGATACCTTATGTTTTAAGTATTTTTTAAACTTGTGATCTCCTTTTTATATAAGCTTAAAATAAAGCCTATTCATTTTGAAAGACATTCATGACTGCTGATAAAATTGTCTTTTATTTTTAGGGAAATGGCAACCACTTTTGCTCGCCTCTGCCAACAAGTTGATATTACACAAAGACATCTAGAAGAAGAAATTGCTAGATTTTCCAAAGAGATAGATCAATTGGAAGACATACAGAAAAATTCAAAGCTTTTAAGGTATTTGAACCATTTTTTCTCAATAATATAAACATTTATTGTTCTCATTACTCAAATATAATTATGTAAAATCACTATAGCATTTGTGTTAAAACTTTTAGCTTTCTATGTTGGCTAAATTATAATTTCCCATATTTCCATAGTTTTGCAACTTCAGTGAAAGCTAATTTTAACAAGATAAATCTGAAGTAAAAGGAGTTTTTTATATCTAAACTTACAACTGTTAAGCTATATTAGTCCTTTCTGAAAGCACAAGTTCTGTAATTAAGAGTTTTTAGTCCTGTATATATCCAAGACCCATAACTTCCATTCTCATTGAGGACTATTGGGGATGCTTAAATTTGAAACAGCAAAGGTAAGCAAAATATCCTACTATAATGTGGAATTCTGGTTTAATATGATTTATCATAGATTCTTTGAGGTATAAATAAATTTAGCTTTTGAGGACAAGACCAAAAGTATCACCATATCTATACTTCTTGGCAGTTCTTAACTTTCAGCTTTATTACCTATTTGCTGGTTCATGAGTCTGAGACAATCACTAAGTATCATTTAATCCTTGCTGCTACATACCAAGATACATTGCTACATACAGTTGCCTACATAAGAGCAGTTTGCAATGTCTGAAAATTGGAGAGATTATCCTTGTGACCTGAATTTTGGGACATGTATTTAAAACAACTGTGATAGTATATCTTTCCATGGTGCCTAAATCTGATCAGCAGTTACATTCTCATTGTACCTTAGTTTTGGAATCTCTTAAAATGACTACCTGTCTGTTAGATCCTAGCCTGCTTTCATGCACACAGCCAAGTGAATTCCATTGCTCCTATTATAAGGTAGATCATCCCAAATACAGCCTTTGAAATTTGGTGAAACTATATCCAGTAGAAGTTTTTTTGTGTGTTTTTTTTTAACTTACGTAGGATTTTATTTTATTTTTTACCTTTTTTTTTCTTTTAATTTTTAACATTTTATTTTTTAGTTTTTTCCCTCTCCTCCCTCCCCGCTTCCCTCTGGTAACCACTAGTCCAATGTCCATGTCCATGAGTCTCTAAACCTACGTAGGATTTTAAATGGTTTCATCTTATTACAGTAAACATATATGATAAAACAGGTTATTTATACTTATGTAGCTTTCTGATTTTGGCTGGACTCACTTGAATAATCTGCTAATTCATCTTTTTTCTAATTTTCTAAGGAAAAGTTTAAATAAGAAATACCGTAAAATTTGCAATCTCTAGTGTTTATATTTTAGGCTCAGCCATTCCGATAAAATTTAATTTACCTAGTACTTCAGGAGAGTTGCCTGAATAAATATACAGTGGAGTTCATATGTACATTTAACTTACATGATCTCAAGCATATGCACTCAATAACAGAACAAGACCAAGAAAAAAGGAAGAAGCTCATGCAACTGTGTGTGTGTACCATAGTATGAAAAAGGGACACACAAATCTGTGTTCCTCTGTCAGTTTTAGTTTGTTGTCCTCTCTTATTATGGACATTTGCCTGCATCAAGTATGATTCAAGTTTGATTTTATTGGTATGCCATGGGCCTTTGACATCTGTCAGCTACTTGTATACATATATAAAACCTTATTCTATACTTTATGCTTGACTTAAAGGAAATTCAAGGACAGTTATGACTGTACATGACTTAGGCTATAAGTCCCACATAAGGTGATAGGGTAAAAAGCTACTTGTCCACTAGTCCAATGTCCAGTAAAAAGCTACTTGTATACATATATAAAACCTTATTCTATACTTTATGCTTGACTTAAAGGAAATTCAAGGACAGTTATGACTGTACATGACTTAGGCTATAAGTCCCACATAAGGTGATAGGACTCCAGTGCCTTCTATGCTTTTCATTCTTTTATGTTCTAGACATTAGAGTCTGTTTATTGTAAAGCTATAGTAGCATATATAGTAAGTACTCTAAAAAGAGTTGTTATAATCTGAATTTAGATAAATGTAGCATTACTTGGCTGGTGGTTTTTCAAGATTGTATGAAATGCATTTTTTCCTCATTGTTCTTTATAATAATTAGATTGTTTTGTTCATTTTTTTAAATTAGAAATAAAGCTGTTCAACTTAAAAACGAGCTGGAGAATTTTACTAAGCAGTTTCTACATTCAAGCAATGAAGAAGAATCCTAACCATAGAGTTTGCTTTGGTGATCATCATAGGAGAAAGTGGAACTTGGATGATTTGGGACAGTTACTATTTTTATGAAATGACTTTAAATATGAATTATATTCACTGTACCTAAGTAGCAAATTCTCGTATAGATTCTGGTAATGATCTATCTCAGGGTGTTTGCATTTCTGAAGAGTGTTATAATATCTCTTTGGTTTTAACTTTGAGTAAAGAAAAGGCTAAGTTGTTTGATGCGTTAAAATAATGAATTAGTTAAAAGCAATAGAACCAACTATGTGACCCCTGAGGGGTGGGTCCTTGCTCTTAATTAGGGCTTTCTTCGTTTTTAACTCTGAAAAACTCTGCTTCCTGGTATCCAGGAGTTAGAGAATGCTCCTTTCATCTTTCTGAAAACTAATTTTTGATGCCTACTTTAATGGGAATAATCACTTCTTTGTTCTATAAATTGCGTTGCTCTAGCCACCAAGAGGGAATGTGGAATGTTCTTGAGTGTATTATTTATGCAAATTACAGTCACTTTTGCCATTCTGGCAGGTATGTAAACCACTAATAAATACATGGTTTTTACTCCTTTTATTCCCATTAAAACCAATGTAAAGCACTATTAAGGTTTGTTATTCTAGTCTCTACTGAAAGTTTCTAGATCTAAATAGCTTCCTGATCTGTTTTTAAAGAAGCATTTTCAGCTTCAGCTATGACTACAGTAAGGAAAGCTTTGTATCTCAGTTTTAGGAGTAACGTTTGAAGTGATAAAAATCGCCAGAGATATAAGAGGTCTGCATTTTGGTTGGGTATAGTCATCTACAAACTGTTCTTCAGAAGGTTGGCTGAGGATACTGCTGGATTGTCCTCCCAGGGTGACTTGACTTCTTTTTGTGTGAATTTGCCAGGGCATGGTTAAAAATTATCACTGTATTTTTTAGCTTAGTGAAATGTTTATGGATTCCAGTATTGTGTGTATTGGTGTTAAAAACTAATTGAAACTTATATGGAAACATTAAAAAACAATATTCTAGGGCTTTGCTATGCAAAATGTAGTCTTGAAGACAACCAAATCAGCATCACCTAGATGCTTATTAGAAATGCACAGTCACAAAGGACACAGTGCTCTGACCAAGTATATTCTTGTTTTTTTCTGTGGGAGGGATAACATTTCAGGTTCTTTTTCATTTTAATACTCAGTACTTTTCTGTGCCTTTAAGGCTCCTGGATGCTATTCTGTCTTTTCACAGCAGGTGCAACACTATTTTTTAAGATATTTTAAGTAGAATGTAACATTATTTAGGCCATAGAAGCCTCTCAAAAATGTTTTTATATCAGATACTAGGATGCAGTGTCAAATCCAAATAAATATTAACTTATAGGTTTTATTATTGCTTTATAACCAAAAGATGGTAAAAGCCACTAACAAGTGGGATCAGGTAACAAACTGCAACATAAAAAACTGATGCCCAAGACTGCTTACTGCTAATTTGTTACAAGTTCAAGGCCTTAATCTTTATAGGAAGTACTTGAACTTTTGAAACAGCATAATGGTTTGGTATCACCTCATTAGTATACTACAGTGGTTCTTAAAGTTTGGTCCCTGAATCTACAGTATTGGTTGTAAACTTTTAAGAAATGCACATTCTTAGGTACCACCCCAGACCTACTGAATCAAACACTAGGTTTGAGGACCAGCAATCCATGTTGTAACAAGTCTTCTGGGTCATCCCGATGCATGCTAGAGTTTGGGGACTTGGAATTGTGGTTCTGGTATAGTTTGTAGTAAATTTTCCATCACTGGTTTGAATACGGCTCTACCTGATCAAGTTTGAAAATGTATAAATACTGGAAATGGAACACTAAAATAGTGAAACTCAGCCCTTATGCCTGAAGGTAAGTGTACCTACAAGCCTGTGAGTTCTACAGAAATTATGTAATTTACAGCTGATGTAGTTATTGTTCACTATGTGTTTGCAGATTTATAAACTTTGTATAACCTCAGACTTTTTACAGAATTACATTTTTATAAATATGCAAGCTTGCAAGGTGAAAATAAAACTTGTTTGCCTGATAGTCAATAAATGTAGCATTTATATTGGCATTTAGTCAGTTTTACTTTTAATTTTTACAGGAAGTGTATAAGCTACCATGAGTAGACTGGCTCTTCTTTTGGTTGCATTTACTTGTTTAGTACACCTGGCCTAATGTTGAAAGTTTACTCATTCTTCCTCCCCCAAAGTTGTGATGATGAGAGTAAAAGCTGTAATCAGTACTATAAGCAATAGAGTTGTTTATTTAAAGACTACACAGAAGGAAACTAAATGATCCTAAGTGAGCTCCAGGGAAAGAATGACTTAATTTTGATTTTTAATGAAAATCTGTGACACTTTAGTACAATGTGAGTTTACTCTTAAAGGATAGGTCAGGAGCACTCCAATCTCTTCCTTGCTCCAGCAGCTCATGGCCTTATGTTTAGATAAAGGAACTAGGGCTGAGTATAAAATACTGAGCTTGGAGTTTAGTTCTGGGACTTTAATGATACAGTCTAATTGACTTAAAACATGCTACATGGAATCTGGTTAAAGCACTTTATTGATACAATATGAATTCACAGCAATATTTCACAGAACTACTGTACAAGTAAAGGAATGAATCACTGCAAGAAATATCCAAGAATACTGTTAAGTCATGGTACAAATCCATCATTCGTTTGGTTGAAAGTTTTTTTAAGAGCTTTAATTTAGTAGGTTCACCTTTCCCGTAGTCATACTACCGACATTGAGTCTATTGGCCACAACTATGTAGAAATGTTTATCTTTCTGGTTGAAGAAAAACTTTATCAACTTTAAAAACCTATTTAGATATTGGTGCCTTTGGATAAGAATATGGAAATGCAAGTGTTCAGATGCTTCTTTGAAAAGAATAGGATAGAGCACCATTGTTTAAAAGACAAAGGCTTGAAATATCTACCAGGTAAACCATTGAAGTTCTGTTAATTAAGAAAAATACTGTATGATGTAAGATTTTGTCGGGCACATTGAACACTTGACAAAACCACTGGTTTTTTCATAGTGCTGCACTCATCATAATTGTTACAGGATCAGTAATTGGATTTAAGAAAAAAAGGAAGTTTTATTAACTGAACAAATTTGCTAAATACAAGGTGTACCATCTGTGATTAATAAATTACTTTTTAAAACACAGTGCTTAGACATTCAGCTACAAACCATTTTCATGAGTACCTAAGGTAACCAATGTTTTTAAATATAGTACTGAATTTAAGGCAACTCCTCTAACAATGGAAGAAAAACTAGTAAATATGAAATGCATTTTACGTTCTGCTTAATCTAAAATAACAGTTTTATTCATTGTGCTACCCTTTCTCAGAAGAAAGATGGTTTAGCTTGTGTGTCTCAAAAATTCTTATAGGAGGTGGGAAAAAGTTTAAAATTTTGTTTTCCACAATGGCAAAAAGGAAACTAGAAGCTGAACACAATAATTTAAAAATTTTTTAGCCTGACTCACACCCTAAAGATTCTGGTGTTAAAATGATGATGGGCTCATTTGGGAGACTTTTAACTAATCTGTTCCAGATAAGTCACAAGTATTCAACTGTTATAATTTTAAATGTGTGACATTCACTGGTAACCAAAGCATAAATTTCCATGAAGGTTTTCACTTTTAAAGTATATAAAGTCTTTATTATTAAATCTAAGACCTCAGAAGATCAGGTAATAATTGGCACAGTATTTAGGGGAGGGGGCACAATACTTGAAGAAGTCAAGATCTGTTTTTCTTTTAATAGGTTAATTTTAAAATTGCTTACCCCATATTTCAGAAGCACCTACATCCATCACGTCTAGGAGTCTACCGCTATCATCATGTAGTATTAGTTCAGCTGAGTCTAAATTATAAGAACTACCTGCTACTATCTCATGTAGTTGAAATCTTTGCCTGTATGAAGATGGAACTCAGTATGGTCTGTTTAACCATGGAATCATAGCTATAAAAATATGAGCTAGGGAGGGACCTAGCTCATGGTAGCAAGTGCTTTCTTGAGCCGGTTTTTGGGATGATTTGGTGAACCACAATGGCATGTCACCATTTGTTTTAGAAAAGAATATATGCCTTTTAAATATTCTTGCCAGATCTCTAAAAACTAGTCTTTATGAAGTAATCAGTCTTCAAATAAACCTGTTGAGGCACATATTTGTTTCTTTAAAGTTAAAAAAAAAAAAAAATTGACATCAGATAACTGCAATGTTTTTAGTGATGCAAATTCCCTAAAACTACATTTGGCCATATTTTTAAGTCTTAAAAAACTAAGATTCAAACTGTACAGTATTATTCAAGTTATATGCTTATTGATTTCATGAAGTTTTATAAACAACAATTAAATAGACAATTAGCTGAACCCATAGAAAGCAAAAGTTTAACTAGTAAATTAATGTGGTAATGAGGTTGCCATTTGGTCATATGTATAATTAGCCACAATCCTGGTGGTTTTCAGTTGTCTAATATTTAATTATGAGAACTGCTTTTAAATGATCTAAACTTTAGTAACATTAAGTCATTTTTATCAACATGTTTAATACCATAGGATTCTTATAGTCTGTATGCCTCTGACTAAAGAAGTATCTTGTTCCTAGAATAATTTTCAAACTAGAGGAGATACTCTATATAAGTATATATACTCTATATAAGTACTTTCTTGAACAGGATTTTGGAATGAATTGCTGAACTACATTGGCAAACCCTCTCCTCTCCTTTGTTTTTTGGAAATTAATTTGTTCCTTTAAAATTTTCTTGCCTTATCTCAAGAGCTGGTCTTTATGAAGTGATATAGTCCACAGACATTAACAGCAAAAAAATTCACAGAAATCTATGTGTATAACATATATATATATATATACACATTCATGCCTGCCATCTACAAGTCTTTTTTTTTTTTTTTTTGGTCTTATATCTTACTCTTCCTTTATTCTTTTTATTCTTT